ACATGCGCCTTGCGGGGGAGTGAAAGTGGAAGTAGAAGTCGCGGAGCAGAAATCATCCAGGTCACCAGAGCAAGCGCCAGTCCAAGGACACTGCATATCATTAAGGAGCTCTGCGCCCCTCCCCTCCCGAAGAATCTTTTTTTTTTAACGGCCCAAGTCGTTACTGCAGCTGCTGCCAAACTCCCCGCATCCTTTTGGATTTTTCCCATTTTTTTTTTGGGGAGTGGAGAGATGGGGGGCCTGCGGTTTTTATTTCACTTTTTTGTGGCTTGTAACCATTTTCGTTGTTTGCCCTGGCAAGTTATTAATGACAGTCACCTTAGAAAGGCTTTCACATGCAGATCCGCTGGGCTTGGTGAGCTGTTCGTTCATCTGCATTTCAAACGAATTCGGTCGAAGGACACCGTAAGCCCATCAGAATTGGATAGTTGGCGGTTGGATGACTGACAATGCGCCAGCATGAAATATCTTTAATTAAAATGTTGTATAAAGATAAATGGGTTTTGATACCTAGCACAAAGTTTTTATTGCAGTCCAGCCCAGCAAAGGAATAGATATATTCCACACTGTGGAGGCGGGATTGTAAAGTAAATTGGCGCCATGGACAAAGGATGTGAAGGCAGAACGACCAGCAGATTGAAACTGGGATTGAGAGATTGAGATTGAGATTAGGCTTCAAGGCGAGCAGCTCAAAGCTCAAAGCTGCTCTGGGCCAACAAAGTTTTTTGATAGCATTTCGTTCGGTTTTCTCTGGTTCTGTGCAAATTGAGTGATGATGGGAGATGAGACAAGTTAATTTCAAAAGCCCCAAAAGGAGAGCGATAAATGTTTACTTAGCACTGGAAACCTTTGCCAAATTTAAGGCAGCTGCAGCACATTAAAGCCACACTTCATCGCGTGCAGAGCTAGTGGAGATTAAACTAAAACATCAAAAAATCGTATTCATAAACGTCATAAAAACAGATGCTATAAATAAATGAAAAGAAAAAACAAAAACAAAAACAAAAACAAAAAGCTCAAAAAGAAAAAAGAAAAAAATGAAACCCTTATAAAACGCATAAAAACAAATTTATAAACCAAAACTTTCTTTTATCATGCTCTGCTCTTTTTAAACTTTTGACTTGAATTAACTTTTTGGCTTTCTTGCGTCTTACTTACTATTACTTTCCATTGTTGGTCTTGCGTTGAACTTGATTTTCTTGTGTTCTTTGGCGTTAACAACAAAACAACCAAAATTCGTTCCAAATGCGTTTGTAGGACGAGAAGAATCAGCTTCTCATAACGAATCTTTGGCTTTCGTTGGTAAGTCTGAACTAAAACTGGCCGTCATAAATCATAGACCTAAATCCCAAGTTAAATACTTACTCATAGCTTAAACCGTATTTTAAATAATGTATAATCGCTTTAAACCTATCTAATCATGAAACGAACATCTCGAACTCTTTCTCGTTCAGTCCGGCAGAAAGTAATTACTAAATCCGCTAAGCTAAAATACTTTTAGCCAGTTGTACTGACTGCTGGACTTGGCCTAGAAAGAGTTTGGCCTGATTATAATTTAAACACACACGGTCCTAACCCGAAGTACCAACAGTTAATCGAGTTTTCATACGCTGTTGAAAGTTTCACCTGAAATACTGAAATAATGCTCCCGCTCCCCAAAGTTCTGTTGTATAAAACGCTTCGTGTAACAACTGTTTATCCGACTCCATCTCCTTTCCCTTCTATCTCTCGTTGAGATTGTGTTGGCTTAGTTCGTGTGTGCGTTAAATTATTTAAACACCATCGCTTAAATAAGTACCATTAAATACAAGCTTAAATACTGTAATAAATCGCTTATTTAAATACGAACCCACATACTCACAGACACAGCTAAATAAATGCTTTGGTTTCCGCTACTTCCTTTTATTCTCTTTGAATTTGTAACTTTTCTACATAGAGATCTACAATGGCAACTAGATTTTTTTTTACCAGCGAACAACCTTTTTTGACATTTTTATTTAGAACTCGCTGCGAGTTAGTTTCAGTTTCCTTTCTCTAAGAGCAACTAAAAATCAAACACATAAACCGAACCGACCAGAAAACATAACTCTAAACAGAACCTAACCCAGCACAAAAAAAAACACACAACAAGTGCATGCCAAAAGATCGCATCTTGTAAAAATATCCCATCTGTGTTTGTCCTGCATGTCCTGCATGTCCTGCATTTACTTTTTGAGTGAGATTGTTTGCGAGTGATTATCTTTTGTGTGAGAGTTATAAAAAAAAGGTGATATATGGCAGCGGAAATGTTATTTTTTCGTGCTTTCCATTCATTTCCGGCATCGGTTCTGTTACGCCCGTCAAGTCCTGTCAATTTGGGAAATTAATTAAATTATTTATTTAACGCGTCCAGTTACTGGCGACTGATCGAATGCACCCCGGAACGCAGGGTGTATAAATTTTAGTAATTTCGCAATTGCAATCAAACACAAAGTACACATAAAATGACGCATCTGGACTGCTGGTGCAATCTGCAGTATTTATGATTGATGGCCAGTCCTGGTGAGGCGTTTATAAACTGTGTCGGTGTTGCCCCCCAAATGGTGTTCGAATGTTTGTCAATTTGCCACTCGCAACCACAGACAGGCAGCTGGAATTCCAAATGCCAGTCCTTTCAGCTGTCGATGGTGCCAGTCAACCGATTGTTGTTCTGCTCGACGGCCCAATTATGCCGTCAAATAGCAATTAAAACCAGTAAATGAACGCAAAAGCCATCAGGGACAAAACGCGACCAGAAAGTGCACAAAAATCAATGACTATCGACTGGTCGATATGGAACGAAATTGATAGGGAAAAAAGTATAAATAAATATATTGCATATTGAAATAATCAAATATTTGGTTTCACGAATAGATTTAATTCTAGAAGGTGCTACAGAAAACTCTATTAAAGGTGTCGAAAAGTATGCAATGTACAATTACCAATACATTTTTAGCCAGAAAGTCCGTTTCTTTTTTTTTATTGTAAAGTTTTAGACAGAATTATAAAATATTTTAAAACGTTACTGACTTCCGTAGCACTCCCCAGGATTTATTTATTTTTTTTAGAGTCAATCGCTATAGTTAAAATATAAAACATTTCTAAAAATCATTTTCTTTTTTTACACTTCAAACTTAACCAACATTTACCCATATCCAGATGGGATATAGACCCTAACGTTTAGACACGCAAAATTAAATGGGAGATTCGCGGTAACTATTCCGCAAAATAATTGCCACACTCGCATCAAAATCTGTGTCCTTCCGTCGGCACACAAAGTGGTGAAATGTTTTTAGGAGCACTCTCCTCACCTCCAAATGGATTGGTGATGCCAGAGCCGAGGCATGAGGCATCTGTTTTTACAGCTGCCATAAAAACCGCACACAATAACGGACGATGGGTGGGTGGGACGCAGTTTAAACTGTTTTAAAGCAGACTAGGCCCGACACGGCACAGATGCAGATACTCGGCTCGAAACTCATATAATTTAATGCAGCACGAGGCCATGGCATGTAATTAAATTTTTGTGATTTAAAAAAGGGATTGTATGTGCAACTTCCGGGCTGAGTGACAGTCCGCGGGGGTCGGCAAGGACAATTGCTTGCTCTAAAAATGCCACAAATGTGTTAAATTATAAACATAACAGCGCCAGCAACAGCAGCAATAGAACGAACATGAGCCCGGCAAAGGCAAAACTAAGTAGAGGGGAAACTTTGCCGCTTTTATGACACGAACATGAACCACTTGTAGGAAAGCCACAAAACGCAACGACCAGGGGGAAATTCAGGACGAGGGACAGAATCGCGTTGCAGGCAGCCGCAGAGTGACACAAAGCACTGAGCAACTGTTTGACTACACAAGGAAAAGCAGTAAGGGATGCCAGTTATCACAGCTTATTTCTACTTGACTCAAAATTTATATTATAAATAAATTTATATTAGCATAAGATATGATGAACCTTTTGTACAAACACTTTGGCAGTCAGGCATTTTTATTGGTCAGTTGGTCAGTAAGCAAAAAGGATTTTCTTTGGGATAAATAAATTTTTAAATTTTAAACACTTACAAATATTATCTTTAACTATAGATTTAATATGCATTTAATTTTGAATGAGCAAGTATATACTCTTATAGCCGCTATCAATGAAGTCCTAATTTACTATTAGCTTAACTCCAAAAGTCAGTTTAAAGCATTTTTTAGTTTTATGGGACAGAAAAGCCCAACTAACTAAAGTCCATACCATTTTCCCAATATTAGTTACCCATTTTTTCTCGCCATGTAAAAACAGACAGGATCAGAAAAGAGCAAACGAGGAACGTTGATAAAACTTGTCTCTTATGCGGTTCCGCCGACTTGGTTGTGGAAAGGGGGAGGGGGGGTTGACTTAGCCTGAAATTGTTGTCAAGTTGCACATTGTTGTATAATGCAGCTGGCAACTGGGCATCTGTGTGCGTACCTCCGTGTGTGTGTGTGTGTGTGTGTGTGTACGTGAGGGTGTGTCCATATATGTTGGCATCCTTAAGCGCAACAGCTTGCCAATCAGTTGGCCATCTTTTAGTCTTAGCCTAGTGCGTGTTTGTAGTGGTAGTTGGTAGTTGGTAGCTGGTAGCGTGCATGTGTGTATGTGCATGTGCTCAGCAGTTGAGTAGATTTCATTTCGGAGTCCCTACTTTCTTTCCCACTTTCTTTTCGTACTCTACCCGCCCCCCAGAAAACAACCAGAGAAATCTGTTTTCTTTTTCCAAACATCACGTCGCATTTTTGTTTGAATTTATAGACATTTTATTTGATAGCGATATACATGTATTGAAACCACTCAAGACCAGTGCAATCATTATTAAAATTATATACAATATGCCAACGCAGGAGTGGAACGACTACAATCTGCGCTGGAATGAGACGGAATATGGCGGGGTCAAGGACCTGCGAATCACGCCCAACAAGCTGTGGAAACCCGACGTGCTCATGTACAACAGGTAAGTGATCTGGGTCCACTCCGGCCGGACTCGATGTAATTGTAACCGAATAGTAGGGCTATCGCAGTCCCACATCAATCAAAGAAACTAATCTGAGAATCAGTAAAAGTGTTTGCGCATTTCATAACCAGCCACATCCGGCTCATAGAGCAGACTTAAGTCTGGGCATAGGCCCGTATAACTCACAATATGTAACCCAATTAATCACTGTATTACTTGAACAATGGTAAGTTAGGCTGGCCAATAGAAACCACAACCATCCAACTCGATTCGTAGGATGGATCCCCCAAAGAAGTTTATTGTTATCGTTTCGTTTTGCGTTCAGTTATAGTTATAGTTGAACATAGCGTATACAAATATAATTACGTAGTTGAATTGTGCACTTTAGTTGATTTAAAATAGATTACTAGTTAACCATTAGAGTTTCGGGTGACACCATCTAAAGATGGATTCACCGCGAACCTTAAGGGTGTGTTGAATGGATTTCGAGATGGAAACTCCATCCGAAAGTGTATCATTCAGCAAGCCCAGTAAAGTTATTTGTTTGCCCTCCCTTAGTTTAGTTTATAATATTCTTTTTACGGTTCGATTTGAGTTGGTTTTTGAATTGAAAACGAAAATACCCAGCATATTTGCATACCCTTAACTTATGTATGACTCCATACCCATCCATACTTAGTTATATAGCTATTATTATAAACACATCATAATCCACTCGCTATTGTTTGTGTGTCTATTTGTATTTAGTAATGAAAGAAAAAAAAACAAATACGAAAATCGAAACAAGCCGCAAGTCAAACAAACAATTGTGTTTTTGATTCGGTGGCCAATTCGACTTTTCCTACCCGTACATTACGATATTTGTGTTTCAATGTTACCCACTTATAATTTGCTTTCAATGTTTTCGTTTCGAAAAGTGACTTAACCAAAATAAGGAAAACAAACAAAAAAGAAAAAAAAATAAGAAAAATTTGTTTACTTCAATAAGAGTAGTTTACACGCAGTGGTTGTCTAGTGGGACTGTACATTGTCAGCTTGCCGTTGATGTGGGCCTCACATTGTAATTGGATTCGTAATGCTAACCGAACGTTGTATAACACATGAAATGCCTGAGTTATCCAGCATTAACTTAACCAAACATCAAGCCCTAAAAGCGAACTAAACCAAAGACAAAGTAACCGCAAAACCAAACCAAACAAGCTAAATAATCGCCCAGACTAAACTAAACTAAACTCCAAACAACTTAAACTTTGTTTAACCAGAATATTGCGCAAGTACTTTGTTCGAAACAGCCCGGTTCAAATTCCTCGAATCGGGGACAGCGGTCTGTGGTCTGCTTCCTAGTCAGTCAAAGGCTCACACTTAGACTTCACCTTAACTCAAGCTCAAGCTCAAGTCAAAGTCCTCTCGCTCCATTTCCGAAAGACAATAACCTCCTTAGAGATTGTTCAACAATATGCTGGTGTAATATTTCTGGTTAGACGTTCAGTACTTGAATTTATTTGGCCGACAACAAACTGTAAAGAAATAATCAAAACCGAAAATGGAAAAATGTTTTTTGTCATTCTCATACGTAGCTTGCAAAAAACAAAACAAGAAACCATCTAGAAAACATCACAGAAAAAAGGCAAAATAGATTTTCAAGTATTGTGCATGAGAAATCAAATCCCTCTTACTAAACAAAAGACTAAATAAAACCGCATAAAAATAATACCAAATGCAAAAAAAATATTTAACCTAAATCCCCACCTCATCCCACAACTAAAAGTCGTGTGTCCCAGCAAGGTGCCAAAAGTACATTTACTTTTGCTGGGCACCACATACCACCACCCCCATTCCATATACACACACAAAACACTTCACAGCAAACACAATTAAATTAAATGTTAAAAGTACTTAAATAGAAAATCCATCCCATTTTAATATAAGCTACAGCTAAATACATTATACTAAATCGAAAACTTGGCTAGACTAGCTAAGCGAACCCATCAAGTTAATATTAAACCAATGCACCACAGATATTTTCTGTACCACAAATGGATTACCGAATATCGATCGTCTCATCTAAGCATTTAAAACTATCAAAAAACACGACACATCATGACATACGCAATCAAAACCAAAGTATTATAAAGTATTCAAGAGTCTAACTTAATTGAGAGTCTGATGAATATTCCTTGAGATAGTTATTTAGTTTTTATACCCGTCACTCGGAGAGTAAGAGGAAAAGAAAAGAACACGTTTACTATGTATTCCTATATTATATATATATTCTTGATCAGGATCAAAAGCCGAGTCGTTCTAGCCATGTCCGTCCTTATTATGAACGTTGATATCTTGAGTTGAGATCTATTAAAGCAAGTTATTTGGAATTTGGCATGCAGATTCCTGCGCAGCGTAAATTTGTTCATATGCCGCCTATATGCCGCTGCTCGACCGCTGCTCTGCCGGTAATCGCTGATGAAGAGAGACAGAACAAAAGAACTGTTAACAAGGGTTGGGGGTGCTGCACTCTATTAGCTTCAAGTGTTGGCCATGCTGTTCGACAGATGCCGCCACCGAAAGTCCGATAGTTTTGTGGGGAAATATTAGTTTGAAATTTGTTAGCTGAGTAACGGGTATCTAATAGACGGGTAACTCGACTTAACCGTTCTTTCATGTTTCTTTTGAATTTAAGGAGATTTGTCCGAAACTTTTCCAATTTCTATAAACTGAACATATTAAGACGCTAATACAATATCTCAAGAAGAAACTTTTAATAAAGCTCAGACTGGAAATCTTTCAAATACTAAATTAAGCAGATATCTTGGAAGAATCATCCGAACATTTTATAATCCTAAATGAAAATACTTTAAAGAACCTGAACAAAATTACATTCAAATCGCTTTCACTAAATGTTAGTCGACATGTACAACTAGTTAGTCTAGTGACTATTGAATGACTGTGTGTGTGCCTATTTAAACAAAACAAGAGTGGAACGACGTTGAACTGGTATTTATGCCCATAACCATGCATTCATCATACGCCCCGTAAGCCGTTGCGAAAACATTTCAGCCACATGGCCAGCAATAATTGCGAAGGGAGTACGAATCATAAATGTTTTTGGTTTCCTAACGAGTGTTAGATGCACGCATTGCAGTCATTTACCCATCGAAGTGCCTTGAATAATTGCCATTTCATTTCCCATTTCTCATATCGCAATTTCGCCATTTTCCATTTGGTTCGCTTTTAAAATGTCCGCTTCAGCGAGAGTGTGTGTGTGTGCGTACGAGTGTGTGCGTACGAGTGTGTGCGTGTATGCTTTGCAATCACCAAAGTAATCAATTGTTATCGGTGTGTGCTATATATCGTTCATTTTAGCTATTTGTTCACTGTGTTCCTTAACAATAATAAATAATAATAAGCTCATGTTTCTCGGTTCTTGCTCGGTGTCCAGTTATAATCATCTCTATATACCCAATCCTACTGTTGTGTTTACTAACCCATAACTATATATCTGTGTTTAACCGTCTAACTATCCACATATATGCCTATATATTTATATCCCAATATATATTTAACCGTCTGTGTGTGTGCGTGTGCATTGATGTGTCAATAGCCAGGCATCGAGGAATCATTTGCCATACCCATTAGGTCTGCCTAAGTTAGCCTAAGTAGCCGTGTAAGCTCCAACCGAAACATTGCATGCCCACATCCCCGCCAGAAATCTCAGGTTAGTCATAAGACCGCAAACCCAAAGTCAAACCCATCTAATGAAGCAGCTGTGGCTGCAGCTGACCTGCTACATTGTTCAAAAGACAAACGACCTCAAAGGAAGCACTCTATTTCTCTAAAATTTATTTGTCATCCAGCGTTTTTCTGCCAACGGAATTATCTCACAGATGCACATACTATGCACGGCAAGCCAAAAAAGTTTACATGTCCACCAAACAGTTGCCGGCGCCTAGGCAAAAACTTCATTATGATATTTACATTTTTTTCCTAACTTTTGTGAGCTGCCTTCGACGAATGCGATTGGACCACCGCCGAATCCTTTTTGCTGAATGGGCGAAAAAAAGAGAGTGAGCCAAACAAATCCGTGTCCACCCGGTGGGGGGCTTAAACATTTTAAGCCATAACTTAAATGTCAGAATTTGTTGCCACATTCCCAACACGGCCATTGCCAGGTGCCGACTAAAAACAACTTAAATGCCACACGTCCCAAGGCACAAAAACTGAAACTAAAACCGAGACGAGCATAAAAAGCATAAAAGCCGGACCCACACGCATTTAGTACGGCTCAAACTTGGCTCGCAAATGAGGACAAACTACGGCGGAGACTTCGGGGCCGGATACAAATGCACCTGGCGGAGTGTCAACTCTGCGGATGGTGAACTGCGAACTGCGAAATGCGGGGTGCAGGTGCATTTGCAGAAGTAATTGCAATTTATATTTGCCACTGCACTGCAGCTAACGGGCCGGGAGTAAGCTTATTTAACCTAATGGGGTCCCCAGTCACACACGGTTTACGGTTGATTGACGCACGGGGCATGTTCTCCGTTTTGTGGCGCCGGACCCCGTAAATGGCATTTACATGTCACCCGAGAGTCGGGCAAACAAAAAAAAAAAAGCCTAATGAATCAAAACACGTACACGTTGCAGGTTTAATTTCCATGGCACGCAGCATCCGACGTTGATTTCGCAAGGAAAAGACCAAAAACCAAGACAAAGGACAAAGGACTAAGGACAAGGGCTAAGCGAGAATGGCTGGAAATAAAAATCATATTGATTAGCTGGGCAGTGGCATAGTCAGGGGAAATCACTGGATGGCCCCCTTGGAGAAAGAGAAACCTTTCGGCTGTCAACTTTGTTTGCTAATGAACTTCAACAGAGTTCAGAGTTCGTGTGCCGGCAAAATAGCCAAGTCAAACAGCGACAGGCAGTTTGCAAAGGATTCGATTTGGTTTTGAGGCAAAACAACGGCCCCACAGACCTTTACTTTCGTTTAATTTATTAATTCTTCTCCCCCGCACGACCCACATTCGAACCTAATTTGTATGCGTCGCCAGCGGTGCTAATGTGCGGCCATCATTTAGATCAATAGCGAGACATTCGCAGACACGGATACAGATACAGACACGGATACAGATACAGATACAAAAAAAAAAAAATTCCAGATGGAGATACATGGCCGCGGAGATTGGCCTTGCCTCATTATGTAGCCTTTTTCGGCGAATCAATCGACTGCGTCTGCTTTTTGTAGCATTTACTTATGCTGATTTCAGCCGCGGATTGCGATTCCTTTCACGGCTGCCTAATTGAGATGCCGGACCTTAAACCACCCGATGCCAGCAATGAAAAGCTTTCACTCTAATTGCAACATTATCTGTGTTTTTCAAAGCATCAGAAGTTTGGGAGTAAGCCGCAACTGAAGGCCCGAAACCGACCCAAATGAAACTGACAGCGGTGTCGGCTTAGTGCCGTGCCTTTCCGTGCCCCAAAAGCGAATCGGGTTGAGACCAACGTCAATATTAATAAGGCCACGCAGAGAAATCAGAAGCGAGGCCGAACAAAAAAATATATACAGGCAAATATTTCACTTCTCGAAATTAAAATGATTTTCATTTGGGGCCAAAGTGATGAAGGTTGCTCACGGCTCAAAAGGATTGACGTGCCAATTACGGGCGGAAGCTCGTATGTGTTTTAACACGTTCACCCCAACAAGATTGCTTGGCCATATCAATTAACTGTAATGCCGCACAATACCTATAGTATATATACATAGTATATACAGTATATATTGTTTCCGAACAGACCGCAATCGAATCTCTTAAGCCCGATTGGGCAGCATCTGCGCTTCGTTTTCGGTTTCGGCTTGACCTGCCGCTAATCAGCGCACAAATTCCCCTTAAATGCCGCAGCAGTCGCATGTAAGCCCCGTCACGAGGGGAAACATGCCCCAACGCCCCCGAAATGGCTGTCAGCCCATCATGAATCCCATGTCATTGCCTCTTTGTGGTGACCGAAAAATGCAAAACAAAATTGTCCACAAAATGTTTACGCAACATTCTCGGCACTCGAGTCGAAATCAGAGCCGTAATTGCATTTTATTGCAGCATTCGAGGGCAGCAGCAAAGTCAAGAGGTACTCTCTCATACATAATGCACGCAAATATGTATTCTCTGATGGGTTTATATATGGCATACTTTGGCCACATTTTTGGAGTATCTATCTGCTGTGGTTCATTTGCATATGCGCATATTGGTAGTGCCGCCAGACTGGATGGTGGATACAGGAAACGGGATACTGGATACTGGATACAAAGATATGTATGCAAAGATATTTGTATTTGGGCAGCCGCAGATTGCCATTTCCGAGTGCTTTGTGTCGAGAGCGAGGCAATAGAAATTCCGTTTGGGTCGTCAAACGCTGGTTGAGATCCATTTCAGTGACCACTAGGGCCAAGATAAACTTCACCGAGATACGTTAAGCAGAGCATCCACAAATAAAATGAAATAAGTTTTAAGTAAACCAATAGATACCTATGTAAGTCTGCCCCCCAAGTAGAGTTTGAGTACCAACAGGCTAAGACACACAACCAGAACAACAACCCGAACACAAAATCCCCCTATGATTCCCAGTATAGTTACTTTCCCAGAGAAATCCCAGCTCTAGATCCCTAGAGCACTGTCCAAAAACAAAAAACATTTTTAAGTAGTTATGAAAAAAGACAAAAATGACAAATCAAAGCGCAAGTCACAAATAAACAGAAAAATAATCGATCAAAGGAAAAGCAAACTATAACAGACAAAGAAACCAAAGAAATGATAACCCATGAATCAAAGAGATTTGTAACTTGATAAGCGAATAACAACCAATCGATCGAGACAATAATCCATTAAAACAAATTGTACAATAATCTAGCGCGGATGAGGGATTCGATGGCACGTATCACACCAACATTGTGGTCAAACATAACGGCAGTTGTCTGTACGTGCCCCCTGGTATCTTCAAGAGCACATGCAAGATAGACATCACGTGGTTCCCATTTGATGACCAACATTGCGAAATGAAATTCGGTAGTTGGACTTACGATGGAAATCAGGTAAAGTGGCAATCGACAAAACACACAGCAAGAACAAGCAAAACGTAACCAACCAGTAACCAGTAAAACAGCAACTAGTTCCAATAGTACAGTGAACGCTGGCTACACTAGGCTACTCACCTCACTCACACTAACACCCGAACTCAAACACATTACAACTCGAGCACGATCACGCTTCTGCCAATCACGAGACTCACGCACGAGGAAAGGCGCGGCAAGTTATGATCGCCGAGAGTTGACTGTAGCCATACGAAAAGTATAGAGAGTATAGGATAATTGATAGGGTTAGGACGGATTTGTAATTTCGTTTATATGCTTTTCCAAACTTCTATCTCTCTCTCTCTCTCTGTCAATCTCTATCACTATCCACCCGAATGTATCTTCTAGTTTATGATTTGTTCGTTCGTAAACCTCATGTCGAACAATTCTTTGCGTTTTTGCGAATTACAAAACCAAAAGATCGCAGTGTTGTTAACAACACTGAACTGTAAGAGGTCCAGTGTGTCGGCTGAAATATTCAAATCAGATGATATCAGGAGAATTGAATATTTTATGCCAACACACACCATATGAGCTTAACTCAAATGGCAACCGCTTTCAACACTGACTTTTGACAGTGTTGGACAGTTGGGTTAGCCTCTCGTAAAAAGTCTCCCAAAATGGAATCATGTGTGGAAATTATAGAATCTTTCACCGCAGAGAACTTCTGAAGTTTCAACTATTTTGCATGGTAGCAGGCAAAAAAAACCACGCCCAAAATAAAACAGCAACCGGCGAATATTTTTGGACGACGTAAAGACTCTTAATGAAAGTCAACAAAAAAAATTACATACAGTATTTACACTCGAAGTGAAGGATGTTTGAAGACATCTTTAATTTACAGCGCTTTTATTTCCCACGTATTTTGCACCAACAACAAACAAATCTCAAAACAAATGAAAAGAATAAAAAATTCTCTATTTTGCTCGCTCTCTATCTCTTTCGTACACCTCGAACACATGCTATATCTGTACATAAATGTTGTTTCAATGTGGCTTTTTGTAAAAACTCTAACCGAAATTCAACAACAAACTAAAATCTTAAATGTTCTCTTTCTCCAATTAAAAACGAATACTCAAACTCAAAACTCAATGACCAACCTCCAAAAAAAACAAAAATATGTAAAAATTGATTTGTTTATTGCAAATTGATTTCCATTCTCTGTGAATACCCATGAAAAAAAAACAATACAAAATATCGTTTGAAAATCAGTTGGATTTGGTTTTGAATTCCGAAGATGGAGGGGATCTTTCCGATTTCATAACAAATGGCGAGTGGTACTTGCTTGGTTAGTAAACAAACCTCATTATGCTTATTTCTCTAACTGTTATTTCGTTTGATCGTTGTCATTTGTAAATGTCTTATCAGCATTACCTCAACTGCAAAAGAAACCCCATTTATTTATTGTTTAACGCATTGCTTGCGATATCGAAAAATTGCATTATAGTCGATTATGATTTGCCTAGCTCTTTTTCATTTTCTTATAATCTAGTTTTACGACTAATTTGTACATACCTTAAAGATCTCAATCGCAAGACTAATCTGTAAAAATCTGTTGTACATACGTGTGTCATTGTGTCTGTATATATGTCTATGTTTGTGTCTCTGTCTCGACCCAAAATATCCTTGCCCGAAGCTCACTAATCCAATTTTATCGTTCAGCCATGCCGGGAAAGAAGAATACGATAGTCTACGCCTGCTGCCCAGAACCATATGTCGATATCACCTTTACTATACAAATACGTCGCCGTACATTATATTATTTTTTCAATTTAATCGTGCCATGTGTGCTAATCTCATCGATGGCCCTTTTGGGTTTCACATTGCCGCCGGACTCGGGCGAGAAGCTGACGCTGGGTGAGTATGCCAAACGAGTTCCCTTGCCCAAACACAGAAATACCTCACATACCAACCGATCTGAACTGTATTATCCAATTCTCTAAATGAACTTTGTGAGTTTTTTCAGCGGTGACTCTCTTATTCCGAAAATTCCAGTTCGCCTCTGTATATGCATAGATGTCAGAGTTAGTTTGTTAGGCCCCGCCAGGTTATCGAGTTCTTTGAGGTCAAGCAGCAAGGGTAGCGAAATGGGTCTTAGCTGGATTTAATTATCAAAGATAAACCATAAATACCCAAAACAAAAAAAAATAATGGAAAAAATCCCCCTTAAAATCTACGTATTCAACGCTGCTTCTAACGATAGTCAGTCTATGCATGTTCTCTGTTCAGTTTTTAAACTAAAGTAAAAATACTATAATCCAAAACGAGTGTTTCCCTTTTAAGTATTTGTTGTTACAATTTTCAAAAGTTTATCAATATTTTTTCTTCAAAACTGTATACTCAAAAAAAAGGGAAACACTCATCTTGTGCCACTAAAATGAACTAAAAGTCCCTGCTGTCCCGTGCAAAGATTTAATAAATACCCCTTATAAACTCCATGAACAACCCATCCCCATAAAGGAGTAAAACTAAATACCTAAAGCTGATGAGTAAAATGTGTAAAAGTTATCCTAATTTTTCGATAAATATTTACTAATGATAAAACTTATTACGTAATCTTGGTATTTCAGTTTTCCGATGTGTTTTCCGTTCGACTTTGATTTAAATTGCGTTTTATATTTATTGTATCTCTTGTTGCAGGCGTAACTATACTACTATCATTAACAGTATTTCTAAACCTTGTCGCCGAGTCCATGCCGACAACGTCGGACGCTGTTCCTCTTATAGGTACACACACACGCTAATTTAACCGCTCTAGCTATAGCTCAAAGTACGGACCGATCGGTCGAGCTACCACTAGACCACTGCTAACGGTGGCTGAACAGAAAGTCGTGCTGTGCTAATGCTGTTTTTAGTTAATCATTAGTTTTGCTACAGTAGTGCAATGAACTGAGAAACGAAAAAAAAAAAAACAAAAAAAACAAAAAACAAAAACTAAAACCAAGTCACGAATACTAACAAAAGATACCGATCAGAAACGAATACGAAATACCAATTAACTTAGCTCTCAACACTTCTGTAACTGTCTTCTGCCACACACCCCCCCATCCACCGGAAACCGACACACACCGGAAGTCCGGAACACCTCCACACGAATGAGGAATGATCAATAACTCCCAACTCTCCGTATGTTTGCCATAGATCTATCTATATATCTCTGTACTCTCTGGACTCTCACCTCGTGTGCCACCACCGAGCAACTGGATGTCGAATAGACTAGCCACACACGTACTCTATGTAAACCCCGTACACTCCACGGCCAACACTGAACCACCTCAGAACTCCTTTCCCAGTACCATGTAAAGTACTCAAGTCGAGCCCGAGGATATCTTTCTAACTCTATCCTAAGCTTTTCACTCGCTTTTCCAACTAACCTTAGCGCATAGTCTTGCCAGTCCTATCTAATTCTTTTTGCTAACTATGTACTTTACTGCCATCGGGACTCCGATAGCTCTGAAATAATTGGTATTCGACCCCACGACAAACAAAACTGCCAGTCCAATCACGGTCACAATCACAATCACAATTACTGCCACAATTACTGCCACAATTACAGCCACAGTCACTGCCACAAGTACAAATACAATTAAGAGAGTTTTTCGTTTCGATTTTGCTGTGTTTGCCCAAAAAGCCGTCCTATATATCGGTTCCTGAGTTCTTTTTGTCGTTATGTTGTTGCTTCGTTTGTTCGATTGTTTGTTGGATTCGTTTGCTTATCTACGTGTGCCTCTAGCAGATCCCTTTGTTTCGATCGTATCGTTTCGTTGGTCTCTTCAGTTCTAAGCCTGCCACCCAACCAATGTTGAATATACCTATAAACCCCCGAACCGAGTAACCCCCGATCATCCTGTAAATAAGCTGGTCCTTAGTGTGCGCTCGCCCCATAAACACGCTGGGACGAGTCCTTTCCCCTCTTTCCTAAAATCATTTCCTTCCGTCCAATCATCCCGGCTCCGAAAGCATAGCAGCATTTCAAACCGCATCAAAAACGTAGACAGAAATGCAATTAAAGAAAATGTATTTTAAATATAGCCACAAATGTATATATACACTAAAATATCTAAAAGAAAAACCATAAAAAATCCAACGAACCACCTTTTTTCGCTACCAAAAAAAAAAGAGAGGAGTAAAACCAAAGCCAAAAAGAAACAGCAAACCAGAAACAACAACAAAAACCAACTAACTTACTTACAAAAAGCCCAACAGCCGAGTTAACCAGTTTTTCAGTTTTTGTTTGGTTTTTTTTTTGTATTTTCTTGTTTTGGTCAGACAAAAACACCAGAAAACCATAAATATAGAAAAGAGGGATAGTGGTGGAAGGATTGTAGTGTGATTCGGCTCAAGGGCAGGCGGCCGCAGTTGAGGTCAGAGATGAGGAAATGCACTTACACTCGCGTCCCGTACTGTAGCTGCCAGCCCCTGGGGGTGCCAAATCGAATGTCAACTGCAATGGCTACCACCAGAGACCTCGAAATGCTGCCTCGTAGAGTCATTTCCTTGATTCCGCCGTATGCCCTGCAACTCAATACATATGTGTAAAGTGTACAAGTTAGTGAATAGAGAACACAGCTAGCGTAGAGGATTGAATGGCGGCTGAAGCGATGTTTTGATACTTGGCTTGGTAGAGAGGAATAGATAGTTAGGCCATACTCGTATCGCCCCTGAGCACACGATTCCCGTTACCGTAGAGGCCTCGCGGTAGGTATAGCTTAACCAATCAGTTTGTATCGCTAGAGCTGTACAAATACGCCTTGGGGCGGTCCAGGCCTCCCCTTGAAACTAAGCATCTATGTTAACCATATGACTATATATATATTTCGACACCGATCACCCACCCACAATACCGAACACTGTAAATAGACAACACGCTGAACAGACGTAAGTACAGCAGCCACCCACCCACCTAACCACCAAATCCACTGGCTCCCCAAACAAGAACAACACCACCGAACCACCACGAAAAGAACAACCAGAACTTTTGTCGAACGCAGCCACACAAGCGCATGCTACTCAAAAAAAAAAAAGAGGCTAGAACCGAAAGCAATCCAAGGCTTTACACCTTCTCAACACTCTGTCCTAATCCTCTGTCGCTCTCGCTATTTCAGTATATATACCAGTTTGTCAATATCCATATAGCCACTATATCTCTACTTCTTGTTCCGAATTCCGTGAAGAACTATTTGAACTTGCACCTACTTACTCGCAAGAAACGAATCGAATTCTCACACCAACAACCAAACCAAACAACCAAAAGCCACAAACCCATCCACTTACAACACCAAACTAATCTAGCTCTTCTTGCTCAACAACCTGGAAATGTATCTATAAATCTAAACCGCAAAAACCAGTCATTTGCAACCCGTAAACTCCTGGCATCTAAAACCGAACCCTCGAACCATATAGAACCGTAGCGCTAAACGAATCTCCACCTAAACGATAAAGCCTAAATGAAACCAAAATCGAAGCAACATTTGAACTTGCATTTATGCAGATCCATTTGATCAGATGGTAGAGTTGCAACTCCACATAATATCGTATCGTTCATGATGTCGAGCCCATCATGCGTTCATATTATGTCACGTATCTATATATATATATATATTAACCCGTTCCGTAACCGAATCCGTAACATTAACCGCCGCCAATCCCCATCTCCAACCAACTGTCTTAGAGACTTGACAAACCATTTGCATTCCCTTCTAACTGCCCATTTAGCCGCGTCTCTTCTCTCTCGCTCCCACTATGGTGCCATCTCTTTCGTCGAAGCACGTAGCAAATTGAATGGGGCGGGCGTGTGGGCGTGGCAAATTGGCAACACGTAGTGCAAGTGTAAGAGGGGGTTGAGTCGACTTCGAGTACAATTTTCAAATATTCTCAAACCAAGAAAAACTTGCGCTACTTTCAAAGTTTTTCCTGTCCCTCTTTCGCCATACTAATGGGTCAAAGTTGAAGGGGTGGCACCATCGTCGCCCCTTAGCCAACCCCTCTGACCGCTAAGCTCCTGAAAAGTTAAAATATATTTTTAATACTCCGAGATGTTGTGAACATTTTGTGCCCATTCTGTCCGATCAAAGCGACATAAAAAGGGGGGAATACCTTCAGAGATTTAACCTCACAGCATCTCATCGGGGCTAAACTTTGAGAGAACTTCCCTGATTATGTACCCTTGGTCCTTACTTCCCTTCCAGGCCCCGATTTCTGTTGGACCCCAATCGATTTTTGAGTTCGCAACATACTCAGGCATATACTCATCCACACTCGAGCACACTTCATTCAGAGATCAAGATCAATGAAACCGATAAATGCTAATGCTAAATAGCCAACAAAAACCTCCCATCTACAATTTCCAAATTGTTCGGCCCGAAAGGCGCTGCGGAAAACCAAACCTCGAACATATACAGATACAAAGATACAGAACCCAAACCTATACTGCCACGGCCCAACTACTGAACCCACATACCCTTCCAAAGTCCTCGATATGTCTACGAATACACGAATACACGAGTACACGAACACACGCCACCAAAAGGATACAGATACACTTGAACATACATAAACGTACGCTTTTTGAGTTCCATTTTGATTGTGTCATTTGTTTTTGTGTGGTTGTTATTGTATTTTTCAAAACGAAAACGAAATTCTTTTGTTTCAGGAGTTACAATTCTTCTATCGCTCACAGTGTTTCTCAACCTTGTAGCTGAGACATTGCCCCAAGTATCTGATGCAATCCCCTTGTTAGGTAGCGATTGCATTTAAAACATACTTACCAAATGCAAATATATATTCAAATTTGTCAAAAACAAAACCAAAGAATAATTAACAAAGTACTTAATATGATTTACACGTACACGCCTAAAAATATATATGTATATATAGCAGTATATATACATATATATGTAACTACATATATATATTCATGAATATTATTGTTATTGTTGTTACCTATATATATATATACATATCTATTACGATTATATTACTCACACACATTGCTAAATTGTTCGCATATATAATCCCCAAACAAACCAAAGCCAAAAAGAAACCAAACCGAACTTAAACTTAAATAAAGTATTAGTCTAACCAACCAAGTCAAACAATATCCAACTCTAAAGTGACAAAAGTTGTTAAATGTTATTTGTGTGCGTCGTACTATGTTTACTAATTACAACAACTTTGCTAAGTACTTACTAACTTAACTAAACCAAACCAAACTAAACCAAATCAAATCAATTCTAATTCCAACTCGTTCTCTCTGTCCCACCCTATCTTCTCAATCGTTCTGAACTTGAAGTTATAATATCAAATAATACAAATATGTATCAATATATATCGAAGCAGTTTCTTAGTTGATCATACTATCTTCTGTTGCCTCTATATCTCTATATATATATATATCTCTCTCTCTCTATCACTATGCCTATATCCTTCTATCTTCATTTGAACAATCAACAATCTTTTTGGTTTGCTTCTTATTCAAGTCGATTTTGATCAAATCCCCAGCTAGCCTAGCCAGCAAAGAACACAAGTTAGGGCAGTCTTTTAAATGCTATCGTTATCTATTATCTTCCGATCTGTACTTCCTCCACTTCCACTTCCGTTTCCATTTTCTCTTCAATTTCTTCCACACAGCGTCGTTGAAGTTCGGCCCCTCGAATTCCAGCGATGCCGCACCAATGATCGATCAAATTCCCTTCAGTATATATACTCCATTCCTCGAACTTTACCGGCGAGGCGTTTATGATGTTATAGATCCTTTCAAATTCAAATTGAACTACATAATGTATTCAAAAATTTCAAGCTTTATCTAGTGCATCGAAGCGTCGCCTTGGCAAGTTCCTTCTGAAATTAAACAACTTCCGCCATACGATCATGTATACAATATATCCGAACTATATATAAACTGTTATGTATTGCAGTACATCTTGCTTGTACTTCTTTCGCTTCAATTTCTTCGTTCAAACGCCACTCCCTCAATTTCAACCCATATGTAATTACAAAAGATACTTATGAGACAGATTTCAATGCAAGTGAGTTTGGGATAATACTTGTGAAATGAAAACAAAGGCGCAGATGAAAGCACATCTGGCGTATATATGACATGCTTAATGATGTCGTCGTCACAGACACTCAAACCGAAAGAAAGAAAGAAATCAATTAAAGAAAAGAAAGAAAGAAGTTTTATGTCTTGTATTGTATGATTTGACTTTTTTGCTAACAGCTTTGATTTGTGTTTGATTTGGTTCTGTCACTCTCACTGTCACTATCACACCACCCACCCACTCACTCGCCCATGAATAGATTATCGAATTTTGCATTGCTTCACCACCACCACCATCACCGCCACAAAAAGAAGATATGTTTTTCACCCTCGGTTTGCCCATGAGTACTGTCACCATCTTGCAGCTCGTTCTCGTTATCGTTATCGTTATCGCTCGCTCACCCGTCACACAGGAAACTCTCAGTCATGGCCACGACCACCCCCAACCACGAACCACCAACCACCCACCACCCACCACCCACAAGTACCCACCCACACACGCTACTTTAACTTTCTTAGCTATTGTCTGTGCCACCCACCACTCCACCCACCCAAACAAACTCCCGATCACATATATATAAATCCCCACCCCGCCCTCTATGCGAACTCACCTTCGATATGCTGTTTGACCCATTTCTCGGAATGATATTTTTTGCTTGAGAACCTTTTTGAGAACTCAAACTGTGAACGAAGTCTATCGAATTTCAATTGATTAATGCCCAAATGTAAATACTGATAAATACTGATCGCTCGATTGCATATCTTGTATTGCAAAAATATCATTTCGCTGAGTTTCGCTTAATTCGCTAATTTTCTTTGTTTGTTGAAATGGGTCGCGGATTCGTTTGCTTATAGATAACAGAAAACCACTGTCCACTTGGAATGCACTCACCCCTAAAAAAACCAACAAACAACGATTAAATTAAATAAATTAAGTAACTCAAATAAACAATGCTTGCAGACCGGGTGGTCTCTAGTGTGTTAAGTTGTGTTGTGTTCTCTGCGAGAAGGTTCAGCCAAAAAATATCATTTAGTCTAACCCCGAAGCTTTCTTGGATCCTATTCCCTGTTTCCCAACTCAATCAGAAACCGACGACACTCCTCCGGACGGACAAACTGCGGCGATCCACGATCCACACATACACGAGATCTGACCAAATTTGACAAAATATTTTACAGGTGTCACTATACTACTGTCGCAAACAGTTTTCTCCCTGCTGGTCGGCAATGTCATTACGAAAACCAGCGAAGCCGTACCGCTCTTAGGTATTCGAACTTTCAATTGACTCGTTTGTAACCTTGAGTTTATCATTTCGAAAACAATCAAAAATCAACAATCCAATCAAACTAAATTTAAATTTTAGAGCTTTAAATACAACCAAAAAACTTTTCTCTCTTTTAGCTGATAAATCAAAACAAATGAATATGAAAACCAAAAAAAAAAAAACGATTGTACAAAGTACTCATTAGACCTAACGAAAGTTTGCGCTAAAAATCAAAGTGAATCTTGTAAAAACCAAACTAGACCGACTAAAGTAGGTAAAAGAATGTTAAGCGATGCTGAGCATGATCCAAATCCAACTGGATAAACACGAGATGCAGATGATGAACCAAAAGTATTTTTGGAACCCAAGCCCGAACCCAAAAATTACCTAAACCCATACCCAAACCCAACCGAACAACCTCCGCTTCTTTAGACTTTTGGCTGAACCTCTTTGACTCTGAGACAAAGTCCAACTAACACAATAACCACACTCGATTCTATCCCGATTCGGTTTCCGGTTTTGCGTCTTAGGGTGCCCTTGCTCTGCTTGTCCATCCACCCGCAAACCGGAAACGCTTTGTACATACTTAATTCTACGCTTTAGGTAATCGCAGTTAACCAATAGGCCTTGTTCCTCATACCCAAGTATCAAAAGCCTACTCAAAACAACGAACTAATTAAACCGATTGTTAAATTGTTATTAAATATTCAGAGAGCATACAGTAAACTGCATAAACGTTAAATCAATTGCAAGCACATAATCCGTTCGCCAAAGCAATTAAAATATCAATTCCCAGCATTATTTAGAACAAGTTGAAAACCACAGACCCAGACAAAATTAACCAATGACCCCAGCCCTCAACAAAAATGCTTGCTATTCATATTTTCTTAGAGTAGAAGTAGCAAAGGACAGTTGAGTTGAAAGTAATCATATAATTTTAACATATTTAATGTAGTTAAAACATCAAAAACATTAACTTTGATACAAGCCTACGAGCTAAGGATAACTATCCGAAAAAATAATAATAAGTATCTTCCAATTGGTTGGAATGACTTTCATATTATTTCGTTAATTTAATAAGATGATTTGACTGTCCTTCGCTCCAATTTCGTTTCCAATTATTAAAGCCAAGCGCATGCATGATCCTCAGTTAAAAAAGTTTACACTAAACTGCATGATGAAGAATGAACCTAAAAGTATCGAATAAAAATCAAACGTAGTGACTATCTTTAGATATTCCTTAGTGGCATCCGCAACGTAAATTAGAGTAAAGTAACATAGTCACAGCATTGTAACAACACAGTAAACTTATCAAGCTACTTTCTCTAATCGTAAATCTAACCAAAGTCTTTCATGAAATGAAGCTAAACTAAAGTAATGTTGTAATATTTTTGTAAATTATAATTTTGAGCTTTTGTTCTTAGTGTTTCGATGATTTGGAGACTCCACAGAGCACCACTCTAACATACGATTTTTCTCTACTCTCTGCTCTCTGTTCACCCCACAATCGACAAATCCGTAATTTGCAATACGCAAACCCACAAACCGCACCACCCCTAGGCACCTACTTCAACTGCATCATGTTCATGGTCGCATCGTCGGTGGTGCTGACAGTAGTGGTGCTCAACTATCACCATCGCACAGCGGACATCCACGAGATGCCACCGTGGGTGAGTCAATCCCCACCAGATTTCCGTTCACTGTTCCCCGCCTGACTTTTGGCTCCTCACTTGCCAGATCAAATCCGTTTTCCTACAATGGCTGCCCTGGATCTTGCGGATGGGTCGACCCGGCCGCAAGATCACACGCAAAACAATACTATTAAGCAATCGCATGAAGGAGCTGGAGCTGAAGGAGCGCTCCTCCAAGTCCCTGCTGGCCAATGTCCTCGACATCGACGACGACTTTCGGCACACAATATCGGGCTCCCAAACGGCCATCGGTTCCTCGGCGTAAGTATCTCACTTTCGGTCTTTTAGTGTTCAGATTAACCCCCTGCCTCGATGTAAATGCGCTCCTCTGCAGTAGCTTTGGCCGGCCAACAACGGTGGAGGAACACCACACGGCCATCGGCTGCAATCACAAAGATCTTACCCTAATTCTCAAAGAATTGCAATTTATTACGGCGCGCATGCGCAAAGCTGACGACGAAGCGGAATTGATTGGCGATTGGAAGTTCGCGGCAATGGTTGTGGATAGGTGAGTTCCCATTCCCATCATAAATATAAAACTCCTGCATTACAATTACACAATTACACAGAATTACACACAAATACACAAATACAAAAACCTATTCTTTTTTAGTCAGTTATGTGGGAAACGATTTAGAAACATAACGATTTAGTAAACAATGTATAGATCATTTGGTTAAAGGGATATTTTATATATAATTCGGTGGGGAATTTTTTTTTTAACATTTAAAAGATTTGCGAACTATACCTATTAAACATTTATTTCTTCTGCTGTACAAATACAGAATAAGGTTAAAAAATATTATAAGCAGCATCCAAATATATAAGTCAAAATACGAATTTTGAAAAATCTTTTATATTTTCTTGAAAAAAAGTATATTTGACATCATTAGAATACAGCCGTTCAGAGTTTTTATTTTTGAAAGCCAATATTGAAATTTAAATATTTTTAAAAATAAATAATTTAAAAATTATTTATTGAAAGCAACAAAAAAAAAATTTGTTTTTAACTTTTTTCCAAACTAGCAAAGTATTATAAGTCCGAAAACCCACTGAATGACATAAAGACTCTATCTGTTTAGGGTACATATTGGGGCTTTGGATAGTTCCTGGGCACTAAATTATCACCTATCCGCAATCGCACACGCAATTATGAACTCTAAGATGTGTGCTTGCGAATGGGTGTGAACTTATTGAACCAAGCCGGCAGGATTCGGCAGCAGCCTGCCCGGCAAAGTCAAACAATTAGGCTGCTCGACTTCCGGCGGAATGAACCCACACAATCGCTGGCTCCCTCGCTCACCACTCACTCACACTCACCCACACGCACATACCCATACGCGTGACGCAAATATTGAAAGATGGCCGACTACCGGTCGGCCGCCATTTTGTTTGGAGGCCATGCTGATTTGTTTGCTGCCGCTCTGCTTGTTCTTCTACTCCACAGATTTTGTTTAATTGTTTTCACGCTCTTCACGATTATTGCAACGGTTACCGTGCTGCTCTCGGCTCCGCACATAATCGTGCAATAAGGACGCTGGAATTAGACAATTAAGCTACGGATATGGAATCGCCTAGTTAAGTTCTTTTTCAAAAACCAAAAACTAGCAAAGCTGCTGCGAAAAAAAGCAAACAAAAAAAATACAACAAAAATAATGCAAATAAAAAATTGTTAATTACATTTTTAAGTAAACAAAATGAGCAAAGAAAATATCGCAAGAAAAAAGAAACGATACAAAATCATGTACTAAAAAATATTTTATGGACAAACCAAACAAAAAAGCAAAAATTACTGCCGTACAAGAACCGAAAAAAGTGTTAAATAAGCTACACACACACACACATACACAGAATTATAAGAGTTAAGTAAACAACAAGAAATGAAACAAAAATTTGCATAGGAATAGCCAAAGAAGGAGGAGTTGGAGATGGAGATGGAGGAGCACAAGGAGGAGCAGGACGAAGAGAAGAACAAAGAAACATCGCGGGACAGGACACACAAAGGTTACATGTGTATACCCACTGATACAGACGCAGACAGACAGACAGACAGACAGACAGACAGACAGACAGACAGACTTACATACATCTAGGTAATTGTATGTACAATAACAGAGTTATAAGTTAATTAATATGCTGAGTTGTTATAATTTATGTAAGACGAACAGAGGACAGACACTCACACACATACACTTAAGATATATGATATATATAAGAGATTGTTCCTATGAGACATTAGATATGTATTTAAAATGGCAACACACTCACGTACAGAGACACACCGACACACCGACACTGAAGCACTTAATTGACAAATGCAAAAACAAGGGAAAGTAACCATTTATTCGTTGGAAAGTGTAAGCAGGAGAAGAACAGGAGGCTAGGGACGATGACCCTTTGTTGTCTGCCGTTTTAGGCTTTAATATATTCCAGTTCAGTTTTCATTTTGGGATCACGTGGACCAACAATATTTTGTTTGATTTCCTTCATTCCAGTTTGCAAACAAAATATGATCCCAATGAAGAAACTTTTACGAACCATACTTGTGTTTCTTATACAATCCATTATTATCAAATTCTAATTAAAATTTTATTTCATTTATTTTTTTTTTCACTTTCGAAACGCTTTTGAAGAGTTGCTTGGAAGATAGCTGATTGTAAATGGTAACAAACTGACACATAATAATGGATATAAACAAAGGTCTATATATACATATACTCATAGTGAATTGAATTAATTTTTAAAAGACGCATTCACGAACACATTGTGGGGAAGTATGTTCGTTGAACATCATGTTTTTAGAAAATTTATTGTTGAAATATTGTAGCAAATTGAGTAAGCATGAAGACAAACGACCCGAGGGCGAAACAAACCGAGTTATAGTCACCAATTAATTAGTCAAAGTAATAATAAACGGAAATCGAAAACCAGAGAAACCAAAACCGAACTAGCAATACAAGATGAAAAGGTGTATATATATTTTATGACACATATATCACCGCATATATACAAGTACATACACATATATATATGGATATATTTTTAATAAAACGATACGGAAACGAGCAAAACTAAAGACACTAAGCAGCGCAAGAACAGAACAGAACAGAACAGTACAGAACAGTGCCCCACAAAGCCAACCAACCAAACCAACTCAATGCAACTCGAAATCACAAAGACACAAATCACAATTTTGTTGGAAATTTCGCATAATTTTCGGTTGACTTCTCTATCTCTATCTCTCTGTCTATATCTATATCTATATATCTACATCCCTGTGTATTCCTAGAAATGAGCTTCGAATTTTTGTCTACTTTACTCTGCTCTCCCCTGACACAAAGCAAAACAGTGATATTTACGGTATAGCCCCCAAAAGACGAACTCAAACTCGAACACACTTTCCGGAACCCACCTAAGAAACCTTTAAACGTGAATGTTTTTTCTACACAAAACCAAAATCAATGAAAAACCTACCTCCTTGTTGAAAGTGAAGAATCGACAGATAGAAATCGATAATGATTGAAGGACAAAGAAGCATAGCAACACTGCCGAGTTCATCGCACTCCTCTGTCCCCTCGATTAGTCCTTTTTACGTTGTCCTGCCAAAGAGAATTTCTAACAGAATTGTGTGACGAACCACTTTTGATAGCCAGACGAAAAGTTTACTTAACGAAAATCAGATCGGCCCTATAGGATACAACCGCTGTCAGAAGGAACCCAAACCCAATCGAGTGCTGAATCAACTGAAGGAACTGCAGATCAGATTTAAGCGTTATATGTGTATACACTCACTTTGTATGTTTTATTTGCATTTACATTTACATTTAAATTTAAATTTAGATTTGATATGAGACGACTTTTACTTACGCCCAGAGCGATGCGTAATCCTACCGAAAACTGCTCTGTCCCCATGAGGTTGTTGTTTTTCGAACGTTAGTCAAATTCGAGTACGAATTTCAATTCGAAATCGGAAAATCGAGATTAAAATTGAGATCTTGAGTTAAGGCGGTATCGAAGAAGTATGAGAATCCGAATTCGAATCCGAATCAGTATCAGAATGCATCGGAAATCGAGAGTTAGAGTTGAGGAGGGTGTGTGCATTTTAAATTTAATTTTTTTTATAATTAATTTAGTGCTAATATTTGAGCAGCTAGGCGCATAATTAGAACTATGTATATGTGTATGGATGTCTTTTTGATAAAAAGAAGCTGTTTTAAAAAGCAAACCATTTTCTACACTCTTTAAAAGATTGAACTCTACATGTACGAGATTATGTATAATACAAGTAATAATAAAATAGCGTTAACTAGGCAATTATAAAAATGAGGTGACCTGCAGAAGGAGCCATAAACTAAGCGTCCTACATTAGGAGAGGGCAACCTACGCGATTACCCGAGATAATGAGATAATGAAAGGAGGCAAAAACTAAAACGATAAACGAATTTAAAAATGAAAAATGACAAATGAAAAATGAGAAATGAAAATGAAATTATTGCAAAAGCAAACTTGTAGTAAAGGAAAATGTTTTTTCATTTGAAAACTCTACTACTTACTTACTACTAAACTTACTTTGCAAGTAATAACTAATTTTCTCTGATCAGAGTTACACGCAATCGCGAAATGCAAAAAGCTAATTACAAAACGGTTGGTACACGCCCACACACACAGTCAGACATGAAGCATTCGAATTGTTCGTATTACAAAATAAAGAAATCAGCAAACCGAAGAGTTCGATTTTCGTTTCAATTGCACTCCGCATGTTCACCCCCAGGGCAATTAAACAGAGTTCAACAATAAATAGCGCATTAAAAACCGATTCGAGACACTTTTTTAAACAAGGCAAATATATTTAAAAATTAGCATTTAACTAAACGACAAGAAAAACTTAGTCTATAAACTGCAAGTGTTTAGCACTAAATTTCCCAAGCAGAAACCTGCAAACCAAGCCCGATTCCAAATCCAAACCTCCACCTGTGTCCCGAGCCCAACTACCACATCAATTTAAATAGCTAATTGCATAATTATTAACACCGTTACTGAATTTCTGTCGATTGCCAAACGCGAGAAAAACCATAAAATCTTCCCAAAAATTATGCATGTAAAAAAACAAACGGCTTAAACAGAAACAAAAAAAAAATTAGCAAGAAGTCTGTTGTCGATAAATATTATTGACAGACAAATAACTTTCGTCACATTGACGATAATAATTAATTTTAAGAAAAGAAAACAAAGGAATTAAATGATTTAAATAATAAACAAATTAATATTAAAAATCGAGAGACATGATTGCAACAAAAACACAAAAACTGAATAAAAATTTATTTTGAAAAGAGAACAAAATCGACGAGTTGGCTTTACTAATGAATGGTGGGCAAAATTTCTACAGCAATGGGTACACCTTTAAATACTTGCAGAATGAAACAGGTAACTGAGACTTTGAATTTTAATATTCTGCAGCTTCTATAGAGAAATATGATATAATAAAACTGTTTTCTTATCAATTTTTATTTTTAACAATTTATATTATTTATAGGATCGGAGCATCACAGCAGATTTTCAATTCTGCGGCTGTATATATTATTTTCGAAAATAACAGTAAAGCCAAGACTCAAAATTAGTAAGACCGCGAGTCGACCGTTATTAAATTGAAAAAAAAAAATACCAAAACATGCATCGTAATTTTTAAAACAGAATACCATACGTACCTTAGGAAATTCTGCCTTGCAATCTGCAGCCACACTGTTATCTGTTTACATATTTTTGTTGACATTTATTTGCAATGGACCTGCGTAAACTATGCCGCATTTGTTTTGTGGACAGCGCTGCGGTGGACATCAGGGAGCACAGGAGCAGCGGCAGCTCGGATCACACTGTCCTCGAGCTGATGCAGGCCATGTTCGGCAGGGTATGGCCATTGAAATGGGTTAAACATCAATCAAAACAACTTTTACTCCAGAACATAGCGTTGAATTTAACTGAGGAGCTGCCCATGATTTGCAGTGGCTGCCTGGAGGAATGTGAGCAGCACTATGCCTTTTTCCGTAAGCTCAAGTTCGCCAACCAGCAACTCCTGCAGCTCTACAACGAGGCGCAGGTGGAAATGTGCTTGGAACCAGATGCCAAGGATGAGCAGGCGGAAACGAAGGCTGGAGAGGATTGCGAGACTTGGGAGGACTTTGCACCACTGGACATTATTGTACTAGAACCCGAGCAACTGGCAGAGCCACAGAAAATGGAGGGAAGGGTAGAATCAGGGCCAAAGCCCTCCCAGAGGCTGGCCAATCAGGACTCACTGATTGTGTCCGAGTTTCTGCCCGCCACCACCGCCCAACCACGTCTGGATCTGTCTGATTCCCGACTGCAGCAATTGGAGCCACCCGCCTACGAGATGCGCACCGTTGACTACGCGGCTGTCGAGTTGAAGCACTACAACTTGGACGAGTACAACGAGACCAATCGCCTGCTCGACGTGGAGCCCAGTGGCAGCCAAGCCATCTACAAGTGCCAGTACTGCCCGCTGGCCTACGCCTCACCCCAGTATCTGAAGACCCATGTGCGCAATTCGCACGTCTGCAAGTACTGCACCACGGCCTTCGCCAAGGTGCGCGATCTCAACGAACATATCCGGCACAAGCACTCGCACCACCAGTGCGTTGTCTGCTCCAACAGCTTCAGCACCAGCAGCAATCTGAGGGCTCATCTTAAGAAAATCCACGGCGTGCTGCTGCCCGCCCAGGTGGCACTGCTGGATTACAGACCAGCCACCACGGACCAGGGACAATCCTCGTAATTAATAAATTAGATTTACAATCTAGAATATATAAGCTCTTGTTCAATTTCTGGGAACGGGTCGCACTAGATTCCTATGCTCCTCTTCAGCAGAATAGCTTTTGTTTGGGTTAACTCTTAAAATAACTGAAACTTTTCTTGCTCTAAGTTCCTTTATCTTTGATGCTTTTGGTTGTGAGTTTTAAACCAACTGCTACTATCAATGCAAAGTTTCCACTGTATAATGCGTATTTACAATTTAATATTTCCACAAGTTCAAACTATGTTTCCCAAAATAGTTGGGACTTTTCACGCACAGGATCTCCCTTGTGTTGGTCCTCTCCATTGATGTACATGGGCGTGAACTCCCTGTAGGCTATGCATACGCGTCGCTCCTTGACATCCTCGCGGAGTACGGAATGCTCGAACTGGTACCTCGCAGGACCCAACAAAACAATTAGGGAGAGGCTAAACAGCAAAAATGGATTTAGTAAGTCAGTGAAAATGTGAGAAGTATAAAAACTTACTTTGGCATTGGTATGCGCAGCACCTTCCCCTCGTACTTGGCCATCTGTTCGTCCGTCAACAACGGCTCTAGCAACTCCTGCTCGTAGTGAGCCACCAAGTCCAGATTGTACTTGCCCGCCTGCTGGACTTCGTACGGCGTGAGGGTGAGCACGGCGTCGCCGAGGCAGTTTACCGTGACCACTCGCTCGCCCCAGATCCAACAGTCGTCCACATGCGGATCTATGCTGGCTCCCTTGCTGGGCTCATATTCCAGGGAGCACTGTTCAATGGTCTGAAAGCCACGCAGCAGTGGAACCTCTTCAAAGCGCCGCTGCACGTACTCCGTAGTTCTGGGGAATCCAGCGAAGGAGCCCACTTGAAGCTTGCGCTTCTTGAAGTTCGTTTTGGGCCCAAAGTTCTGTTTGCGCCGGCCGCTCTGCGAGATATCCCAGGGCAGGGCGTCCAGGTCGGCCAGGAGCTGGGAACCCTCCTCAGCGCTGAGGAATTCCTCCTGCACCAGGATTCCTGGCAGGGGCAGACCCTCGTCCTTTTTGTGTTCTCCATGGGCATCTTGTACCTTGGTCGTATCCCAGCCAGGCTGCAAAAGTTCGCAGTGCACGCAGTATGACCACGAATCCAGCTGCTGGAACTGCTCCCGCAGCGAGGGCTTCGCTATCTGGAAGTCCTGCTCGCAGCTCAAACAGGTGCGGACGCCCTTGCAACCGCAAGGACGAATTGTATTCATCCTTAAATTGCAGAAACACGTTAAAAACAAACCAACAGTGTGACCGCTGCTGGGAAGTAACAATACACCAACCAATCTTCAATATTCATTAATAAAATACTAAAAATGAGCTTCTGTAAAATGTAACAGTGTTCTGTTAAGCGCTCTGTTGGCGGGCTGTTAACATTATTTGAATTGAGAATGTTTAATTAAAACTTAAATGTTATATTTATTTTGATTAATTCGTGTGATTGATTAAAATTAATTAAATTTGTTAAAAGAATAAATTAAATATTGTTTTCCTTTTTTAATTTTTAATTTAGTTTAAATTAACTAATTGTGTAATTGATTCAAATCTGCTAAAAAAAACAGAGGAAAAAAATTTCTGTCAATAAAAATATGTAAGCCGAAAGAAAAAATATAAATTTTAATTCATTTCTTAATGTTAGTTAAAAATTATATGTCTAAGACTAAGTCTAAAGTTCTTAATCTTAATGTAAATGTTAAGTAATTTGCATATTGCCATTTTATTGAGTTCACTTGTGGCAACAGGCTAAATATATCAACAAATTACATTATACTTTTCATGCTCAAATTTTTTATCACCTTACAAGTGCTTTTGTTTCAAAGACAACCAACCATGCAGGGTAACTTACCTTAAAATGACAAATAGACACCAACATTTATCTATCTACGTTGGCCATTAAAATATATAATAAAGACGAAATTCAAGTTGCATATTCTTAAGATATTTTAATTCTTGTTTTTTAATTTAGATTTCATTTACAAATACTTATTTTAGACCTGTTTCAATCAAACAAATGCTGCTTGGTGATCAATACTAATCGTTTTTTTCATCTCCAGCTAGTCTTACTCTTTCTAAAGGTAACCGAGCTGAAGCCAGGGTTTTCCAATATGGAACAAGTAGGTAATATAAGGTGGAGCTCAGTCCGGGCGATGCGATGAATCCTTGTTTCTTCTTCTACTTCTCTCTGTACAAATGGAGCTTGGGTGATCAGTCTTTCGGTGCAGATCCAGCTGCAGTTGCTATCGATCCATCCATTAGATTTTAAGGCAGCTGCGATGCGAACCGCAGCGGGCGTAAACCTCCTCGAAGGAGCGGATGAGCTCGTCCATTCCGCGGAGCAGGCCCTCCTCCCGGTTGCCCGGCGCCCAAGCGCTGCGATGGTCCACCCTAACCTGCGGTGGCAGCTCCCGGCACTTGGCAAAGTCGATCAGCCACACGCCGACCCTCTCATCATCGTAGACGATGAAGATGCTGGAGCCAACGATCTCATGGCGGGCGAAGAACGACGACTGCTCGATGACCAGGCGCATGTGCTTCAGTCGCTTCAGCAGCTCCTTCTGCACGGATCGCCGGGCGGCCAGGAACTGTTCGATGGTCTGGACGATCTGCTCGCTGCTCCGGCAGGTCTTCAAGTCCTTAACAGGCGGCCGTCCGCGCAGACGCAGCGCCTCGATCCGGAAGCCCTTGGAGTGCGAGGACGACAGGGACTCGCGGAAGGTCATGTATCGCAGCTTAGTAATGGCCCTCGCTTCGTGCTCCGCCGGCGTTGGAGCTTCAGCGTCCACGGCGATCATCTTCTGATAGAGATCCGGTCGCAGGGTGGCATTGCTGACCTCAGATTCGAGGAAGGTGCGGCTGCCCATCTTGATGTCCATCACACACGGATCCCGGAATCCAGCCAGCAGATCCTGCAGCTCAATGTAGTGCTGTGCCTGCACCTCCTGTATTCCAAAGTAGGCGGGCACTATCTGAGCGGTCTGTGGCTCCTGGCAGATCAGTCGGTAGGCTTGCACCTCGCTGTCCTCGAAGCCCGTGATGCGTTTACGGACAATGCCAGTGGACGTGGGCACAATGCTGGAAAACAAAAGAAGAATTTCAGGTTAGTATTCAGTCGAGATATATCTACAAACGAGACTATTAAAACCAAAGTTTTCCGCATACTAGTAAGAATTTACCGTTCTTGCCCCTTAAAATCGATTCTACTACCTTATCCTAGGTAGGTAGGGGTTATAATATCTTTTTTTATCTTTTAATATTCCCATAAGTAAATAGACAACAAAGTTAAGCCGATCAGAAGACCACTTCCTGTACTCAGCTGATAAAAACATATTTAAGGGAAAACAACTTTTGGCTGGCTTATAAAGCTCATAGCTCCCATTGATATATGATCCCATGATCCTTACCTCTCTGGGTGACCGGAAAGCTGCATCCAGCCCTGGGGCTTTGCCTGCGTCTGCGTTTGCGTTTGCTGGTGCTGGAGAAGATGTGGCGTAGCTGGGGCGCTCAGCTCTAGGGCATTCTGGAAGCAAAAGAGAAACGAGCCTTAGTCAGAAGGGAATACGAATTCATTGATAAATCGCAGTTAATCGCCGCTGGGAACGGGTTTGCCTCGCTCCTTCGCCACAACGAAGCATTATTGTCTGCCCGCGATTATAAATAATCAAACAAATTTTATTTGCCCGTCCGAGTGCCACGCCCCAGCCTCGTAAATGTGAAATTTATGCAGGCAACCAGCCAACGCCAACCCAACCGATCGCACATTGTCCGAGGCTGAGGCTTCGTCGTTCCAAGCAGGAAGCGTTGGTGGAAAGTTTCTGTCCCATCGTGAGTGACATGAGTGTTGTAAACAACGGGTACTTACAATGGCCAAGAACTTCAGCAGGGACATCTGGGCCGGGGCCTGGGATTGGATGTGGTTCCTCTGGGCCTGGGTCGCTCTTTGGAGACTCAAATAGTCGGCCAAGTTGTCGCAGTTCTCATAGGGAATCCGCTGCAATGAGAGAGATTCAAAGGAATATGGTCAGTTGAAGAGTAAACAAATGAGGTGTGTAAATATTATTATATAAGATAGATGCATTGCATTTTTTTAAAATTAATTTCGGATTTGGCCCAACAGTGACTCACGCAGAGTGTCAATTAATTATTCAAACCGAATGCATATTGGCAAACGGCGAAAAATTCTAGGCGGTCCCCGTTTTGATTTTGCTTATATAAAAAGACGGTGCGGAGCAGCTTGATGGGTCGTCGTGTGTGGTTTACGACCGATCCCCGGCAGTGCCGTGTCCCTAATGAGCCACTTAGTATGCAAAGTTGGCGTTTGTTTTTGTTTTTGCTGTTGTTGTCGCCCCGTTTGTTGGTTTGTTTGTTTGTGCTGCCTATGCGAATTGAGCCATAAGCATTGGCCATAACAAATAACGACCTGTCAACGTAGAAGGCGATCCAATCCGATCCAACCCAATGCGAACCGATCCGATCCGATCCGATCCTCACTCCACCGCTTTGATTAATTGACTAATTAAGGTAAATGCCTCGGAACTTGTTTATGCCCACTGCTTATATAGCTTCTGCTCTTGTTATTTCGCTATCTTGCCACTATTATCGTATCTTAACTGCCCAGATAACGCTGCGTCTTTTGCGTAGCAGATGCAGATCCCTTGGGTTAATAACATTGCGTTGATCTGATTGCGATCTTTACGTAAGTTGACAAATTTGCATATGTGGCACAATTTCGTCACTGGTGCTCAAGGGGCACCACAGTGAACACCCGTTGCCAGGGTCATCGCTCCTTATCAGCGGGGTATGGTATGATCTGGGCCTTATCATTTTGCAACAGTTAGCGGTTGGCAAATATTTGCCTTGAGGGTGCGAATACACCGGCTTAACTGCAAAGGCACTCCGATATGGGTTAGAGATAATGAATGGCGCCTAATCAGATGGCAAACACGTTTTTTTGTGACTACAAAATTGGTTGAAATGTGAAATTCGGATAACAGAATCTTATGGTAATTTTGGCAGACCGATTCTTTGGCCTTCTCTGCTCGAATTTCCATACTGAACACAAACCAAAAGCCCCCTATTATGTATTAATTAGGCGCTAATAAGATGTCACATTTGTTTGAGGTGGAGCACACCGTCTATCAAATTCCATTAACCAACATTCGAGGTCCGACGTTCGTGTCGTCAGCACTGACCTTTATCGGGAGTTACACGTTACGCTTCTGATTTAACGGGGACTTAATTATAGCTACGATCGAACTAATCGACGTCAGAGGCTTTTATTCATTGACTACTCGTTTTACAACTGCATTTACTACAGATTGGCAGCAGACCCATTCTATAGCCGATACTCGCACATTTTTGCACGTACACCACCTGGGCGAAATTAGCACATGGGCATTGATTTGGATTAGGAAAGGTGCGTCACACTGTGGGATAATCTGGCCCTACAATATTACTTCATTTTTATGTGCCCTTACATGTTTAATTATCTCATCGACGTGATTCTGTTCACTCGTGTATGCAACATGCCAGGGAAAATCTGTCTGGGAAATCCTCAGCGAAAATCACTTGTGACAGATTGAAAAGCAAAACCGCAAAGTGAGCAAAACAATTATTAACTTTAATTCTGACATCAGAAAATTACAGCACTTTTCGCTTGAGCGAATCGGTTCGCGTTTATTAAGGTTCAAGCTCGAGTTCGAGTTGGGAATTGGATTCGGGTTCTGAGTGCGTTTTGGCCGTGTTTTCAGCCTCAGACTCAGCGTTATTTTTAGGTTTCAATATTTCGGCGTTTAGCTAAGCTTACAGTTTAGTAGTGTTTATTTATGACTACTTAGCATTTTGTATAGCCGCCGGACGAACGTGTTAACCGACAGCAACAGAATAGCAACAAAAAAAATTAAAACACACAAAAAGAGGCAAAACAGAAATTTTGCTTGAATCAATTTATGCGCGTGACGTCAAGGCGCTTTGGCTGAGCTGTTAATTAAACAAAATCAACCTGCCGAATTTTTTTTTTGTCGGCCCCCAATGTATGGTTCTTGGCCCGCAGAGGTCCACCCTAAGGCCCAAAAGCTGAACGGATTGTGGCCCTGAACCTGCAAGGTGCCCCCAAAACTGGTTCTCCAGGATCCCCGCGCTGTGGGCGTGTCTCAGGTGCAGCAGCCTTCGCAGGTTTTGTAGAACACAACCCTGACATTATAATCCCGAGTTCCCGAGACGATGCCAAGACGTTGGCCCAGACCGTCTAAGTCTGGGGGGGGGAGGGAAGGGTTTCATCGATACATATATCGATAGTCTCGGTCCGCCGGGGAGTTTATTTGCATTGACGTCAATGCAGCGTTTGGGGGTCAAGGGTGAGGGGGGAGGAAGGCTGGGAGCCTCAAACCAGTTGGCTTGAGAAATATTAATATCGCAACACTCAAGCCATCGGCAGCAGAGGGTTAGATCCGTGTGCCCAGGGGCAGAAAGTATCAGAAAACTCGGACTAACCATCACACTATCTTTCTTTCTAGCGGCACCATCAATCTAAGTCGCAGTTCTAGTGATCATGAGTAACTTGGTTGGCCAAAGGAGAACCGGATTCGCGTAGACCTCCGTTCTGCGTCAATGTGAATAACGTCTTTCCCTTTGGTGCATTCATCGCGGTTACACGAAAACCCCTGTGAATCACTCTGCGAAAGTTTGGCATTCACCGCCAATCTGACTAAGTTCAATTTCGAGCGACTTAATTAAGATGATGAGGACTTAGGGGGAATACCCGAGGCTCAAAATCAAAACTAGATTAGTGGCCCCAAACCCGATCTCTAAGCTTCTAACCTTCGCTCTTGTCGTAAGCCTTGATCTTAGACTAGCGAAATAGCAAAATATCAAAATGGCCGAAGTTAACCGATAAAAACTGAGGCCAAAAAGAGCGTGGGCCACTGCACTTGACACTTGAAATGCTCGAGAGTGCTTAAGCTCGTCGGAATCAGAGACTCACACTGAGAGAAACACAAAGCCTGAAGAGTCAATAAACTCGGGCTTGAGAAATAAGGACACAGCTGTCCAAAAGGGAGAATAATGCCAACGAATCAATTGTCTTTAATGAAACGGAATCAAATGAATCGATTCGATTGTCCACTGGCGGACAAGCGACGCCTCTGGGGAGTCTACATCTCAATCTGCCGTCAGATGTGTGATCATAACTGGCCGTGTCCGGCTACGTTACGTTTACGGGCCTCGTTTCTGGTTGCTTTAATTAGCGCAGACCCGCCGTAGTATGCAAATTGGCGTTACGTGGATTATTGGAATTCCAGCCCGAGCCGCAGATCTCCCACACTCTGTTTGCATTTCGCATAGTTCGGTTGGATGGTGACTGGGTGGTTGCTGGTTACTGGTTGCTAAATGCTGGATTGGTTCCACAGTTGTTTCAACAAAATTCCACAAACAAACAGACGTCATTCAAGGCGGAGTTTACACACGACTCCGCAACGTAACTCTGCTTTTTTTTTTGGTCACTTTCTCTGCCAGTGGTTGGCTTTCTACGCGGATGTGGATGCGTTGCCCCAATCCTCATTGACGTCACTCTGTTTGCTTGTGTCTTACAAGCTTTCTTTTCATTCGGCCACTTACCTCGTTGTTATTGTTCGATTGTTGCTGCTGCTTTTGCTGCTGCTGTTGCTGCTGGTGTTGTTGCTGCTGCTGCTGCTGCTGTTGCTCCACATCCAACATCATGGCATTGCGCTGCTTGGAGGTAGCACTGGCACTCGTATCCAGGGCAATCAGTTTCCACAGCTGCTTGAGGCCGATGTTGTCGATGCAGGAGAAGCGGAGCTTCTCGTTGGACCAGGCCATCGTGGAGCGACTTCTGGTGGAGGTGGCTGACTTGGAGGCCTTCGCGTTGGCACCGGACTGGTGATGGTGTCTCTCTGACTTGGCTGGAATTGGCCGCTGGAGCACCGTTGAAGTCATAGTCATTCGGATCGCTTGCGCACTTAGTTTCACTTGGCTGGCAACACACTGTTGGTTCGAGTGGATGTACATATATCGTTCGGGAACTCTAGTCGATTTTCACGCTTTGCGATTTTATGCTCGACACATTTGCATTCTGATTGTGATTGTGTTTCTGTTTCTGTTTCTGATTCTGACTCCGACTCTCAGTATCAGTCACAGCACTTTTCTGTTTCCTAGTGAAAACTGCGTTCTCGTTTCACTTCACTTGCACTGTGCCTCGGCATGGGAACTTCGATATCTTTATCTAAGTGCGCTTTGTTTTTGCACTTTTATCTTTATCGCTCGGTCCCGTTGGGAACTGTATGTAGCACTGTCGATCGCGGCGAAACGGTGGATCGGCGAGAATCGAGAATCGAGGCGTTACTCTGGCTGCTCTGGGAGACGACTAACTGGTTTCGCCATATGGCAGCCAGTTTTGTGATCAACGGATCGGCAATCGTCGTTTGTCGTCGGCTCGCGTCGGAAATTCAACGAAGTGCTCTCTGGGAACCGGAGTGCCGGAGAGTTACGTACGAACAGGGGGACACTCGCAGACTCTCTGGGGAGCACCGAGCGAGAGCGCCAAGGAGAGCCAAAGAGAGAGAGGGTGGAACTACCACCTACACCCTCTGGAGATCGCATTAGCCTTCTGGATATTTCAGGAATGAGCCGCTGGGAGCAATAAATCAAAGTAGAAGGAATCATTTTGTATAATTCAATAATCACAAGATCAAACAAGCAAATTTAAATTCTTGGTTAATTTAAAAATTATGATAAACGAGAAGGTCCCCTTTTTAAAATCTCTTTCATATTTCTACTTGTTAAGAATATCTTTAACCAGGGCAAAACAAAAATAATTGCTGCCAAATCCCATTTTTAGCTACTTATGTACATTTAAAAATGTTAAGTGATGAATAATCTTTTTTTTCTTTTTTTGAATTTTTAATTCATTGTAATTTACGTCAGATCGAGTTATTATTTAAGTGAGTAATTTGTTTCAATATAATAATTTTTAAGGCATTTAAGTAATACGTAGCTCACTCGATCGTTCATTTATGCACCGCTTTTAAGTTGATGTCTAAAGTCGTAGACATAGAAATTATGAGCATATTAAACTCGAGTTTATTTTACCTACAGGTTCTCGACCTTCAGACTATTAAAAAAATGAACTCTACAAAAAAAGGGGAAAATCCCAAACCCATTCGCGCCTTTGTCACCTTGAGTGATTTAGTTTGAATGTAAATGTCATCATGAATCTCCCAGCCCATTTTGAGATTAATCCATTGCTTACTATACAAGTATAGTAAACAAGGAATTTCAAATGCGTCGATCGCCATTTCGCCACAATTCTATTTCAGAGGGCTCGTCGAAGTACGATCGCAGCAATGGTTTACTTAGAAATTATACATTGCAAAGAAAGGGAAAACAACTGAAAGCGAATACATTTGGGATGGGAGCACTCGAAGAATCCTAGACCCCAGAGAAAAACAACATCAGATATTTGTTTTGGCGAAGCGTAAAAGAACGATTTGGGAGTCCCGAGACCGAGGAGAACTGGAGGACAGACATATGGCGCCATAAGGTCAGGCATTGAACCGCCCCTACTTCTTTTATCTGGGCTGTTGTTGAACTTGGCGAAATTCCCGGACCCATCTGCAATGCTAATCCAGCCAACTGCGCAACATCTTGGGATCGGCGATTATGCAAACTGTCACCAAAATCTGCGCCAATTTTTGCAGAACCATCCAGTTCATGGCCATCGGCCGATGAATATATGTACTCGCATATGCGCATATTTATTGTGGATTTCGGTACAGATCCAATGCCCAATACCAATCCCAATACCAATCCCATCGAGATGCGTGCGTCAGTCTGAGTTTGAGTGACATACAAACCCCGAGTTCGAGTTGCAGTTTCCCCCTGAAGTTCTCCTCCGACGGCCCACATTTCAACTGCGTCAGCGGACGGACAGCGGTCGTCAGTTGTCGCAGGCCTCGTCATTGTAATGCAAAGCCATCACATGGTAATGACTTGGGGAAACTGCCTCGAAATGCATTGAACCTTTCGTCTGCAGGCGGCAACGTGGCGTATGAGTAACAATAGTTTCCCGGACACGTGATCTGACGGCAGCCACGAGCCATTTCCCGACAACACCAGTCTGGCTATAATTACTCTGCCGGCGCAATTGAAGCGATTAATATTAAGTATAGAAACTAACTGCTCGCACATTACAATTAAGCTGATCGATTAAAGCCAGGGCCAATTCACAACATTGAAAAGCCAAGAATTTTATTGTTTAAAAATAGTTTTAATACCTATCAACTTCGGCAAGCCGAGCAGCTATTGCACAATTTAAATATTCTTAATAACGTCTTTATTCCGATGACTATTCCATCGTTCATATAGCAGCTATAAAGTCTGAACTAATAATAATATTGAAGTATATTCAAGTATTTTTGTATTCATATATTTTTACTATTGTTCCAATGGGAGCTTTATGATATGGCCGTCAGTTTTAAAAAAATAACTAAGACCGTAGATTTGAAATATTTAACAATTACCAAATTTAAAAGGAAGATATAAATGTTTTTTTTTTCATGAAAATAGCTTTAAGACTGAAAGACTGGGACATCATCAAGAATATATTTAGATTATAGGGTCGGAAATGTCTTCTTCACTGCGTTGCAAACTTCTGACTGAATTTATAATACCCTCTGCAGGGGTATAAAAATAGCAAACCAATAACTTTGTTGAGTTTTACGGTAAAAAGCAAAAAAAATCAAAATTTTCATAAGAATATGAAATAAATAAATATGTATATTTCTTCAAATCGCTATGAACAATTCTTGTTTTCAACTTTTTAGACATAAGCACTTTTTCAAAGGTCAATTTAAAATTCATGTGGAACGAATCGTGGAACTGAAAAATACAAACTGATGTGGCATTCTCCACCTTAGTTCAACCATGAAGTCTGTTATATAGTAAATAGTTTTTAGCTATAGATGCACTATGTAAGCCCTTACCCTCCTTTAAATTTGCAACCCGTTCCTGCCCTTCATTGCATTGCTGGGGCTGCACTTTAATTAAGCGATATTACTGGCGTCTCGCATCTCGATTCAAATGTCACTTCCCACTTGAGTGAATAATCAGAGATCCCAACTCACAGGCGGTCCATCTGAAAAGCCCAGCCCGCTTCCAGACCCTGATCAGTGATCATCATCGTAGGCCTGACGTCAAACGCACTGGTTGCGTGAAATTTCTTTGTCACGATTGGATCGGAGCTTCGACGTCTGGCGGCTTTGGGTGAAGGGATGCGGATGGGCCATCTGCTCGCACCAGTGGCTACCGGCAGACAAAGAACCCAGATGCCCATATGTCCATATGTCCATATGCCAGAATAAAACCAAGATGCCACCAATGCAGCCGGACTTTTGTACTCCGTCAGCCTGTGTTGTTTCGCGTTTTTGCTCCAGCGATTGACGCACTTGGTTGTCTTGTCACTTGACTTTTTTAATCTCGCGACTTTATCGTAGCTTACTGCTGGACTGGCTCTCAGAATCGGATTCAAATTCGGATTCGACATCGGCATCGCCATATGATTCGTTCGTCATAAGTGTAACTTAATATTGCGCTCAGGTAGCTTCGCTGGCTTCGCTGGCTTCTCTTCCTCAAGTTTGGATTTCAATCATATCGTACTCACACTCGCACTTCACAGAATGTTTGCTATAGTTTTTTGCCAGCTGGAGCGGTTGCTCGCTATTAAGTTATAGCTCAATGACTTTCCTGACGTCACAGTATTAAGCTCAGACAGTCGAAAAAAAAGCGTTCCTCATTAACATGTTCTCCATGTGGGAGTGTTTGCACTGGCAGATCGTCGGATCTTCATATATATGTATATATATATAGAAATATGTGTAGCAAGAGAGAACTATAGACGCCAGCTTGGCGCCGCTCAAACAATTAAATTGCTCAGCTGGTAAATTAAAATATGAGTTTAAATTTAGAATTTTTATCTCCTGATCTAGCTATAAGTGTCTGGTTAAAGTTGACACTGTTTGGAAGGATTTTCCAAGACCCTCTTACCCACCTGTATTTCCAAGAATTGCCTTGGGAATTTCAAACAAATTGATTTGGTAATCAAAATGGGCGAGTTGGGTTTTTGCATTTTTACTTAACGTCTACCGAATTTAATTTATCGAAGGAGCAACGAACTTTCTCTTTTTGACTCTTCAACTTTGCTTCATTTAATCCGTAATTCAAAGTATCGACTTACATTTATTCATTTTTATCTCCACGAAGGGTCCTTCAATTTGTCTGCGCTGAAATTCAAGTGTGTGTTACTCCGACATGTTTGTAGAATGCTTCATAAGCTTTGAGCGTTTCCCATTGTATTTCTGTTTAAGGTTCAGTGTTTGACTTTATTTATGGAAACGCAATAAGCGTGTAAGCCACAAGTTAAACTCAGTATTTAACCAGCTGTAGTCATTGCTCGCCCTACAATATCTAAATATGCCATTCTCTGGTTTACCCCATAAATATAAAGTTAAACAGATACGGAGTGCACAGGCCAAGTGTTGGGAAAGTACCAAATATAGATATATATAGATAGACTTTTATAGTGAATAAGTAAAGAAAGTACAGAAACGTTTTAAAGAAATCCCTTGATCTCAAGAAATGTTATGTTAAAGACCCCATGATTCATTAATATTTAAATAAATATAATGTTGAGTCAAAGAAAGCATATTTTTTTTTCTAGAGTTCTACTTAAGAGTTTAGGATGATGATGCGAATCGACGGGAAGTGACTCTCATCAAAATGTTTGAAAACTTTCCTCGTAATTCCAGCAGATTACTGGTCTGATAATCGTGGGCATGGTCTGACCGACAAACGTCACGATCTGGTAGAAATAAATTCAGAGGCTGATAAGAAAAATTGGGGATTACAATTTGTTGAAAGATTTCCCTCAAACAATGTACATACGTCACTTAAAATAACTGATTCTGCGAATTGAACGTCAACTTTCTGAGAAACTAAGACTAAGTGCCACTGCCGTTGATTGAAATGTCCTGGCATGGCAACAATTTGAACTCAGTGTGCCCCCATTTCCGAGACCTCACGCATTGTTATTCAAACATTGTTTTGCCCCGATTCTGCACTCCGCTAGGGGCTATCAACCTGCTAATTTGTGCTGAGTGTCATTTAATCTGTGAATGATTTCTTTGCAAAATGCCTCTAAAAATAGTGTCACAACATGTGAATGGCGCGAGCCGCTGATAAAGCTGCAAATGCTACATATGTATACTCTCCACCGCCGATAATCTGGGGTCAGGCCCAAAAAAAAAAAAAAAACCAGGCTGCGACTGCGGCTATAAACAAAAACAGGAGCAGCAATTGCTGGTGGAAATAAAATTAGAACCTGACCAACAGGGCAGCCGAGACGCAACAACAAACAAACAAAAGAATAATTATTTATGGGCGTGTAAACAATTTGATTGATTCGAGCCAAACGATCTGAATCGACGAGGAAAACAGAAAACAACGGCTGCCTTGTGTTTTAGCCAGTCGATCATGTTCGAATTCGTAATTAAATCTTTCGCCTCAGAACAACAATCAGAAGACTTTCTTTTTAATCGCATTATGTCATCCTTTTAATTAAGAAATTTTTGTTTTTATTTGTCTGCTGACCTTATGTATCTATAGTATATTATTATTTTAAAATCACGAGAATTATTCACTTGAGCACATGTCAAGTGGTTGGGCTAGTTGTTAATTTCACGCAATAATCTTAGACAAGCTTAAAGAAAACCCACTACTGACCTCCTAGTCGATCATGACTTTGAGGCGATCACGTTTTGTGCATCGTAGAACCCGGCACGTTCTTTCCTTTTTCGGAACAGCTCATCCAAAGTGGGAATAAACATGAATTGAAGTCAAGGCAGAACGTTCGATTCCGATTTCGATTTCGAGTGCAAAATCAATTTGCGTCAATTGCAAGAGATTAGCCTCGCTCTAGTTTTGCAAAAAAAAAAAAAGTTGCAAGCTAACGACCACATAAATCAGCGCCAGATGATAATAAATACAAGACAAGAAAAGACAAGACAAAAAGCTCTGCGGGGGGGCGCCTGGAAACAAAATGATGACTCTGCTCCGGCTTATCGCCGAATAAAATGAGTTTACATCGGCGGTGACCAAAAATAGCCGACCAGCTTCTTTCAGGGCCACGTCAGTCGGTCAAAAATGGGAATCGGGATCTGGGTGGTGTTAACAATCCGGTGATACTGTTGTCTTTACCGTTGCGTGACGCAAATCGATCCAGTTGACGGCTCCATCTCCGTTACTCGGCGGTTTATTTATAAATAAAATAAAATGCACCAAAATAACCCAAGCCGAACTCGCCAGATCTTGAAATGCATGCGAGTGCATCTGTCCCGGTCCGATTAATCCCAGCCAGCTGATTCCGCTGAGGTCTGGACGCCTTATCAGGCCCCGACATCGGAACCGTAATTGAGTAATATATTGGCAGACATCGGGAGACAGCGCGATCGCCATCGCCATCGGCTCCCGGGCACGTGGCATGCAAATGAGCGGCGGCGAAATGCTTTCGGAATATCATTAGAAAGATTTGGCAACCTTGGGCCAAAATCAAAAAACAAAAATAAAAAAAAAAAAACAAAAAACGGAAGAAACCCAGCTAATTAAATCCATGCGAAACCCGATTCTGGGGAAAATTTATGGTTCTTACAGTTCCATTGAATTCAAATATTTGCTCACCCACAAATCTCAATTGCTTGTAAAAAATTGTAGGAAAAATATTTATCATGCGATTAGCTGATGCCGCAAAAATAAGGCTTATTAGCGAGGGGTTTCCATTGAATAATAATTCATCGGAAATGATCCTATGTCAATCTTCTTGAGTTTAAACAATCCCCAAAAGTATGTTGTTCTGGCATGATGTAGAATTTGTGTCAAATAAACAAATGTTTGTTTAATAGAGTATGGGTTAGAATTTTAAGCAAAACAAAAATTTACAAATACATCTAATGGGACATTTAACATGCCTAATCAAAAAAAAAAAAAAACCGAAAACCAACTTTGACTGCAACGCACAAGCTTCTAATCTTTATAACACTTAGAAATCGGACAACTTCTGAACTTTCGACGACTGCAATTACAAATCAAGAGCCTCGAATCTGAATGGGCTTATCGCCTTTTGGGATTGCTTACAATCTGACACATTAATGGCTTTAAATGCTCGTAAAAAGATTATGAATCGTGAAAATCAAAGACCACGAGATTGCCAATCAAAGACTGTTCAATTAATCAGCTGACAAAGGTCCGAATTTAGATTAAGGAAAAACCCTGTACAAGTCAAATAGCCCATTTTAAGTTTGGAACTGCGATGACACTTGGCATTCGCCATTCGCAGCTGACACGAGCGGAATATTTGAATAGCGTAATTGTGGGCGGCAGATAACAATAAACTCATTAGCAAGCCAATTCAAAGGCAGAAACAATAACATTAATGGGGAGGCACGAGTAGGAAGTTCACATAATAATATATATTTGCCGTAAACAATTTCCTATTCATATTTGCCGAGCTTATCGGAGGCCACTGGCGCAAAGACAAATAAATATGTGGATAATTGTTTCTCCAGTTGGGGGTGTGAAGGCAACAATTGAACAATTGATTCACTGCCTTCGATTAAGTCTAAACACACACAGAAATCGAGGTAAAATTCCTCCTCCTCTAATGATAACGATAAGATCCTTTGTGAATTCAACAGTTAAAAGGCGTGTTACTATCTGATAAGAAGGAATAACTAAGCACTAATGACTTTTCATTTTGGCATATATAGTATAAATTGTCAGGCGGCTAAGTAGGATGGTTTAATATAGTTCCAGAACTTATTTCATTTACAGTTTATTAAGCAAATTCAAAATGTCAGCCTTACCAAAAGACAATCCTCCGCCGCCCATATATCTAGTTAACTTCGAGAACTACTTGAAACCTAAACAAAAAAATAAATGTCAGCCTCTTCAGCGTTTCGAGAAGCCAGTTGCTTCCACCTCATATCTAATCAAGAATATAAGGCGATTAAAGATGTTAAGATGGTACGGTAGTCTATCAAGACGGATTAGAAGGCTACCACTGCCCAGATTTCTTAGATTTTTGCGAGCTCGTAACGATGATGGCCTTTGCAAACGCAAGACTGGATTTGAGATTTACTGCGAGATGGCCAGCATACATGGATTTCACATTTTTGTGGGCGCCAAAACGTGGCAGCGTATTCTCTGGTGGCTCCTCATTTGCACCGCGGTGATGCTTTCCCTCATCATTGGGACCATGTCACTTGCAATGTCAGAGGAATCGCCCACCATACGCTTTATAGACATGAAGTCTACGGCAGAGGTGCCATTTCCTGCTGTCACCATTTGTGGTCTAAACCTGATTTCCAAGCAAAGATTGCAAACCAAAGCAAATGAATTGGGAGTATCAGCAGAAGGCCTTCAAACATTTCCTTCTATGAATTCTACTGTACGAGAACAGCTAGGAAATATAAGTTGGCTAGAATTGCTAGAGGATCTAGCTACTCCTATATGCCCACAAATCCAATCTTGTCTGTGGGAAAATCGCGTGGATAACTGCCTGGAAAAGCTGCTACCAATTTGGACTCTGGACCAACGCCTGTGCTGTAGTTTTAATTACCAACAGCAGCGATTTAGTGCTCATTTAGGAGTTAGTTTGGTTCTAAGAGCCAGTGAAGAGGACCTCGAAAGTCTTACAATGAAGGGCGTAGAGGTTCTCATTCATGAATCCCATGAAATTCCCAATGATGCTACACCAAGGTTCCTGGTGCCCAGTGGATCAGAGGCTCACATAATGGTGCAACCCTTTGTCAATCGATTTATGGCAGATCTGGAAAGTATATCACTTCAGAAACGAGGGTGCTATTTGCCAAGAGAACGTCGATTGACCTCATCTAATGTCTATCACCAAAGCATTTGTCAGGCAGAATGTCGCAGTGAAAATATAATGAAGTCGTGCGGTTGCGTTCCTCCAAAATCTCCTCGTCATGAAAATCGGACAATCTGTGACCTACAAAAAATGCAGTGCGTAATGGATTTCGGTAGGTGGCAAAATATTTACGGAACCATTCTGATTTCTTGCTGTTTACAGATCATAATGAGATCATCAAAGGAAAACAAAGGAATTGCGATTGCCTTCCGCCATGTGAATTCAATCGCTATGAATTCCAGGGTGATATAAGACTAATAAACAGGATGATTTACAACAACATGAGCAAATCAAGGTAATTGCTGGCACAATTAATTAAATTGAATATTTACAAGATGCTATTTGATTTGTTTATCAAAAGAAAATTAATGTGACGTGATATGTTTTGATGTTGAGACTTAAAGCTATGTGTCTTTTGATAGACAAGATCAGTATGGAAGATATTTTATAACAAAACACATAAGCCGACTAAATAATAAATATTCATTGATTATTTCTTTAAATAAAATAAATAAAACCACGATTTTGAATATATAAATATATAAAAAAGGAAATGCTATAACCCATTGAAAAACATAGTTATAAAATTACATTAGGTATGATATTAAAGTCGGAAACTTCTAATCAATAATTTAGTATTCCGAAGCCCACAAATGAAGTTCGCCTGCGTGTCTACTACGACTCACCAATTGCCGAGGAGCAAGTCTTGGACGTGTTCGGAAACTGGCTGACATTCATGGGCAAGTCCACTAATCACCTACAAGGTATCCACTAGAATTACAATTATGGAACAACCCACTTTATGGGCAGGAACCTTCGGCGGAATTACCGGACTATTTATGGGTTGCAGTTTCGTTTCGGTCTTTGAGCTGATTTTCTTTTCGTGCGTTCGACCCACCTGCAACTGGCTGACCCGTCAGCAGATACTTTGGCGCCGTCGGAGGATCCAGAGGGTGGGCAACGCCGGCGAAGTCATTAGGGCTGGCTAATTAGGCGCTGGCCTAATTACATCGACTCTGGCCAAGTCACAGTCCATGTCAAGAGGTCAACCTGCAGAGATGGCGTTCAAAAAGCGGCGCATCTTCGATTTGCGGCAAGTTCAGGCCCAACAGATGGCCACCAACACCGCCGGTCAGCGACGCAGTGATCCCAGCCAGAATCAGCCGCATCATTCATTCTTACCCAACGACCGCTTCCGCCAGATCGGTGAATGGTTCTCCGAGAACATGCGCAACTACTGCCAGACCACTTCCCTCCACGGATTCAGTTACATCACCCGGCAGGACATCAGCCGCCATGAGCGATACTTTTGGCTGGTGGTTGTCATCCTGGCCATCATCACCTCGATTGTGTTGGTTGTGGTGTCCTGGTATTGGAGTCAGGAGACCCTAACGGTCACCGTCATCGAGAGCTCGCACTTCCCCACCTGGAACATTCCCTTCCCGGCGGTCACCATTTGCAACTTCAACAAGATATCCAGGATCAAGGCACTCGCCATGCTGGATCAAATGTAAGTTGACAAATGTACACCCAGAGAAAAACCATGGTAAGTCCAAATATTTTCGCTTTGAATTAAATATTTACGGTAGTAATTTAGCCATGAGGGGTGTTTTGTTTAAATCAAAGTACAGAAACAAGCTAAGTTAACAAAGTTTAATTTTACTATGGGGCTTTTCTTTGGGTGTATTTATTTATTTGAGAAGTTTTTGGTTCCATATACCGCTATATAAAACAAACAACTTCTTAAGTAAGCCCATATGTCAAACATGTCAAAGGTTTAACAGTTTTCCTACCTCCCAATGCACATATTTTTTGAAAGCATTTCGACTATATCATTCTAGAACAATTGTTTAGTTAAGTCTTAATAGAGTAGTCACTATGGTTTATTATGTTCTCGACATACATATATTAATATTATGACATATCTAAAAGCGATAGGAAAACTGACTCAATTTTTTTTTAATTTTAAAAATTAATCTTGGTACAACTGGTTTTAAGAATGCCATTTTTATTGTACCGTTAAAAACTCTTGTTTCTATGTTATTGTTTATATTTATTTTTAACCAACTTGATATAAGGACTTATGGAGTCGTATTATTTCCCTAATATACCAAATCGTATTGTTTCGTAATTTTTTATAGGCAGCTTCCAGTTGGCGTTAATAAATCAGAGCTGCACAACCTCTTCAACCTTACGCTGTTGCCCGTGGACAACCTCATAAGCAACAGTTCGCTGCTGATCTACGATCGGATTTTAAGCCTTAACAATCTCACGCTCACTGGTCTATCGCAGCAATTGTCGCCCGACTGCATCGAGATGATCTCCAGCTGCATTTGGAAGGGCATCAATACGCGATGCGACAGTCTCTTCCAGCGCATCGATACCATGGAGGGGCAGTGCTGCACTTTTAACTACTTTGGCGGTATCACCAACAATTTTCCCGAGTAAGATTAAGAATTAAAACAGATTTAGTTAGTTTTAACAATTAAACATTTTAGAAAGATTGCATATCAGATACCCAAACGACCGTATCGGGTTACTGGCTGCGGCTATCCCACGGGTCTCTCGGTGCTGCTTAACCCCATGGTAGCTGACTACTATGGCACCTTCTTCAGTGGCTACGGATTCCGACTGCTTCTCCACGATGCCTACAACTTTCCGGACGAGAACTCGGAGACCAAAGTGGTAACCTCCACGCGGGAGAGCTTCGTGCGCATTAATCCGGAATCCACCTATGCCACCAACGACATTCGTCGCATGGACCAGAGCCAGAGGAACTGCCTCTTTGGCAGAGAGAGGAGCATTCATGGCCTAAAGCGGTACTCCTTCATCAACTGCATGTTCGAGTGCCGCGTGCGTATGACCTTTAACCTCTGCGGCTGCCTTCCGCCGTATGTCTACAACAACGGCAGCTATAAAGTGTGCGGCATTCTGGAAACCAACTGCATGATTCAGAGCAAAAGTGGGTTAAAAAAACAAATATCTGACGATGCAATTGTTACTTACTATTTTGTTTATTTTAGGGCTATTTTCCCATGCCCTGGCTAATTTGAATTTCTCGCTATCGATTGTTCGGGAGACGGATAGTTTTCCATGCAATTGTCTGCCGGATTGCCAGTCGAATCACTATGTTTCGGAAAGCACGATGGGGCGGCTGGATATGAGCTACTTTGCCAATCGGCCGTCTTACAGGTGGGAAAAATTTTAATAGTTGAGCACTTGGTATTCGTAAACTAAGGAGAACCATATTTAGACTCCAAAAATCTGTGGAATTCATTGTTAAAGAACCCTTGTTTTTTTATTGCATACTTCAAGCCTTTTTATCAGTTTAAAAACCCTTTATCTTACTCACTTCTGATTTTGTTTCCCCAATCTCAAACAGCAATGCCACGGATGGGATACTGCTGCATGTGTTTTACAGCGATCTGATGAGCACCAGATATCGAACGGATATCTTCCAGAATTGGCTGTCCGCCTTGGGTATGCTATCTACTTTTAAATACAGTATCATAAAAACACTTATGATTCCCTACTATTTCCTTTGACAGCTTCATTTGGCGGTTTGCTAGGCCTAATTATGGGATTCAGCATAGTGACGGCCTTTGAGTTCCTCTACTTCCTCACCTTTAGACCCATTTTCAACTACATCAACAGGGACTAGACCAGTAAAGCTAAACCACTCCTCGCACCCCATTGCACTCCACTTGACACGCTTTCATTAGAACTCTGATTGATGAGCAGTAGCATTGGCACTATAAATCGTCTGGACTCGAGCACTCTTCAAACACAATGGCCCGAGTGGAGGAGTCCCACTATCGCCGCTTGTTCCGTGAGTTTTTGCGTCAGAGTTACATCAATGGACTTCATCCGTTCCTCTATCAATCACCCGTTCGCTATGCCAAGTGAGTTATAAAATCGTAAAAACTATTAAAGTCAAGAGATTGCAAACAATATTTAGTTAAAAATGTGACAAACAAAAACACAAATTGTCCTGTTAGGTATAATAAAATTAAATAAAATAAAGTAAGATGAAAAAGAAAAATTACTGATATTATTAAATATCCACGGTGGAGGACTTAAAACACACTCTGTTGTGAAGAATGCCAAATATGTGTTCTAAAGTTTATTCTAACATTTTGTAGCTGCTTAAGAATTCGCGTAGCGATATTGTATTAAAGCACCTTAATTAGCGGTTTTTAATCAAGGAATTAAAAGAAAAAAGTATTATACCAAGGCCAGTTGGTATCCACGGTTTGGTATATGGGTTAGTACAATGAAATGATTAAGTACTAGTTTTATAATTAGTTCCCCAAATGGGAAGCTCTTAAGCCCCAAGACCCCGAACACCACTGACCTTGACCTAAGCCAATTTTGTCCTACTTCCAGAGCTCTCTGGCTTGCTGTGCTTACAGCCCTTGTGATCTACACCCACATAGTGATCGTCGACCTCACCCAGGAGTACCTGGTGCAGCCGACCGAGATCCACAAGGCCCCCGACCTGGTGCACGTGGCCAACAGCCCCTTTCCGGCGGTCGGCGTGTGCACCGCCAACAAAATCAGCCAACGCCTGCTCCGGGATTATGCCGTAAAACTGTGAGTACTTTATTGCACGAGACGACTAGGCGACTAGTCGACTAGTCGAAGTAGCCCAGGCTCTTGACCTCGGCGGCCATGGCCACAATGGAGTCGAGCAGCTCCTCGCTGGCGGGCACGATCTGGGCGGCGGGGAGCTTGAAGCCGGTGATGAAGTTGTTCGAGGAGGGACGCAGCTCATAGCAGAAGGACATGCGCACATCCTGGGTGCCGTAGGCCCAGTCCACGCTAGCACCGGCAGCCGGGTAGATGGCATTGTAGATGTTACCGCCAGTGTACTTGGTGCCGTAGCGCTGGTTCACGGCGGCAATGGAGGCGTTGTAGACTTTCTCAAAGTCGAGCACATTGTCGGGCAGATCGGCGGTGTGTCCGTAGGGGTACAGCAGGTACTGGGAGTAGGCGTGCAGGGAGATGTACAGCTGGATCTCGCCCTTCAGCGAGGCGATGTAGCTGGACAGGGAGCGGGTCTCGATCTCGGAGAAGGCCGACGGTCCGGCGTAGGTGTCGGAGCAGGCATTGCTGCTGGCGCCCACCTCGTTCCAGTGGAAGCCCCAGTTGCGATTGGGATCGGCGCCAAAGCAGCTGCCGTAGGGAGTGCGGGTCTTGCGCCACAGGCGATCCGTGGTATGGGTGTAGACGTAGCCATCGGGATTGGCGTGGGGCAGGACGTACCAGGTGTAGTTCTCGGCCAGCTCCTTGATGGCGGCCACCTCGGAGGTCAGCAGCTGGTTGATGATGTAGGTAGCGGCAGCCGGGGCGATCCACTCGCGGGCATGGATGCCCGCCTCCAGGAAGATGCCAGGCTTGTTGGCTCCACCCCTGGTGATCTTGACGCCCAGGATGGAGCGTCCCTTGTAGCTCTTGCCGCCCTCGATGAGCGTGACCACGCCGGGATTCTGCTGGGCCAGCGACTGCATCCAGGCGTAGGTGTCGTCCAGCTCGTAATACTCGGCCCAGTTGTAGCTGGCCCTGGTGGCGCGTCCCTTGATGGCCACCTTCTCGTCGGTCTCGTCCAGCGTCTTCTGCAAGTCGCGCGTCTGCAGCTGGTACTTGATCTCCGCCTTGCCCAGGATCTCCAGGAAGTCGGGCACCTTGTGGGGTGCAACCACGATCTGGACATCGGCGCCCACCAGATGGACTCCGTCCAGGAAAAGGATCGAATCGCTGGATCCCTCCAGCTCCTTCAGCACCGCCAGCTGCTTGGCATTCTCCGATGTGGCCTTGTACATGCGGTAGTTGTCATAGCGAACCCGCTCGGCGGATACGCTGGCCACGATGGCCAGCAGGGCGAAGAGGAGGCACTTGGTCAGCGACATGGTCGTCGTTGCTTTGAGCCACCAACGGCTAGACCACCTCCTTTTATAGGCCATCGATAAGCACCCTCCGAATCTAATTTACGATCCGCGACTGCCTTGTACAATCGTTCGGGCAGTAAATATCGGAGTTATCTATGCATTCGGAGTGGAACACCTTTATCGCCGTAGTCGTCTCAAAGGCTGCGCCTGGTAAATCATCCTAATTCATGACGTCTTGAGCTCTTCGGGAAAATGCCATTTCATCAGACAATACCATAATCACATGGCCTTGTCATGAAAAGCGACAAGGATTTATCAATAATTTGTTTCTGTTTGATTACTCAAACTATATTAAGGAATGGGATATTTCTTTTACCCTTTAAAAAAAGGGGGTAAGTCCCAATTAATCTTATCTCAGTTTGAGTTTTATAGTTTTGTTTTCTGAATTTCCAATCCCTGCTTAATGATCATCTCAGCTAACTAGAATTATTTCATTAAAAGGATTTACTGACATCCGAACATGTTGTGATTAAGATTAAATATAATCACTTCAATTGTTTTCCTTTTAAAATTGATTAAGCAAATTTGTTGCTTTCATCTTATCAACTCGTCTAAGTTATCTTTGATAATCAAACAAGGTTTCGCTTAGTTTTTGTCATAAACAACATATCTCTTCCCTTCGTATCTTATCAAAAATAATAAAATAAGATTTTTCAAAATAGCTCTTTATATTATTGAATTTTATAACCCTCAATTTGAGCAGCTGTTTTGATCATCTGCACCAACGAATCCGTGGTCTCCTGTCCAGTTGGTACTATTTGGGAGGCGGGTAGTCTAAAGCCGGTCCAGAAACTGTAGCCAGAGGGCCGAAGCTCGTAGGTAAAGGAGTACTTCACATTGTGCTCTCCGTAGACCCAATCCATGCTTGAACCAGCCGCCGGATAGATCGCATCGTAGACATTTCCTCCCGTATAACGAGTTCCGTAACGCTGCTTCACTGCGCCCACTGCTGCATTGAAGATCTGTTCTAAGTCCTTATGGTTTTGCGGCAGCATGGATGTGTGACCATAGGGATATAGCAGCAGCTGGGAAAAGGAGTGCAGCGAGAGGTACATGAACATCGGTTCCGGCAGGGACCTGAGGTACTGCGAGAGGGTCTCCACTTCGCGTTCGGAAAACGCCTTGGGTCCGGCATATGACTCCGAGCAGGGATCAGAACTGGCACCCACCTCGCGCCAGTGGAAGTCCCAGTTTCGGTTCGGGTCCGTCCCAATGCAGTTTTTGTCCTGTGGACTGCGCGTCTTACGCCACATGCGATTCTAAACGAAAAATTGATTTAATGTAAAGGGCTAAGTCCCTAGAAAATGTATATGAAACAAGAAGGAACTCGCTGATCGGGTGCACCAACTAAAAGATACCCTTTACTCAGCTATTACCTATATACATATATATAAAAATTAGGGATTAGGGTGACACCATCTGCCGAACTGCTGGGTAAACACTAAAAGCTAAGCGCGAGAAGTGAAGTCTTTACAAAAATGTTAAATAACTTTTTAAATATTGGTTCGATTTGGACAATTGTATTGTGTATTAATAGATAATGACAAAATAGGCATTTACCTTCAAATAACTGCAATAATCTTCTCCTGCATTGGCATACTTAAAATCTGATTGCATAATATCAGTTCTCTTTCTCCGAGATCTTGACGTTTATACGGACAGACAGATCAAGAATTTATAAACTTTTAAGGGACGAAAAATGCTTCTTCACAACTGTTACATACTTTTATGTAAATACAATATAATCTTTTACTTTCCGAGTAAGGGGTATAAAGACCTATATTCTTAGAGAAAGCCTTACAAGCTTACCGTTTTGTGGGTGTAGACATAACCATCCGGGTTCGCATGGGGCAGTATGTACCACACATACGATCTGGCCAGACCCTGAATCTCCGGCTGCTGGGAGGTCAGTAGTTCGTTGATGAAGTACGTGGCTGTGGCAGGACCGATCCACTCCCTTGCATGCATTCCAGCCTCCAAAAAGATTGACTGCTTGTCCGTCCTGCCATCGATGTGATTAATTTTCAGACCCAACAGTTCTCGTTCCTCGTAACTCTGTCCTGCCACAAAGATACTGACAATATCCGGGTACTTGGCCACCAGATTCTGCAGCCAGCGATGGGTGTCGTTAAGCTCATGGTATTCCGTCCAGGAGTAATCATCACTGCGGCGATTTGCATCCGCCACGGGCTCTATATCCAGGGACAAACTGACTTGGGCATTGTTGTCGATGAGTTCGGGAGCGAGGTCCAAGCCTTTGAGAAGTTCCAAAAAGGTTTGGACGTAGCCGGGAGCTACTAGGAAATCAGTGGGGCCAAGATGGAGGTTGTTCAAAATCAATGCATCCTCGCTTCTGCCCTCCAAAGGTCGCAGTCCCTCCAATTGAATCGCCTTCGTTGGGTTCACTCTGTAAACCCTGTAGTTGTCGAACCTCCGCCGTTCAGCCAAGCAACAAGTAAGAATGTTAACCAACAGCAACACCAGTAGAAGCTTCATGCTGGCACTAATCCAGGGCTAACCTGGCCCCAGCTCTTTTATACCCCGCCCGAGTGCAGTGAGGCATACTAATTGCCGATTGCCGATTGCCGGTTGCTAACCATCCACGCCCCCAATAGATTCCAACACCAGGGCAACTCCTCGCTGCAGGCGGTGGCCCTAGACGTGGACGATATGGCCGATCGCCTGCTGGTGCTGGCTCAGTTCTACCTGAACCCCCTCGAAACCGAGCGTTGGAACGCCTCGGAGCTGGGTCGACTGCACCGGTTGCTCTTCAGTTACTACCGCGACAGTGAGTACTCGGTACGCGATATACTGCGTGACTTGTCGCCCGATTGCGGGGAACTTGTGATCAGGGGCATCGTCTTCGGGGCGCCCGTCAACACCAGTCGATTGTTCCTGAAGCGACCCACCTCGTCGAATGTGTGCTGCATATTCAACTATCGACGTGCCAGCTACTCCCGATTTGCGTTAGTTCATATATATATCTAAGATATGCAATAACTAATTTTAAAGTTTATTAGCACCAAGAGGGCCGAGGACGATGCCGAAATGAGAGCTGTTCCCAAGGTCGTTTTCGAATCGAATTCTATTCTGAACAGCGTTCAGTTTGTACTGCAGGGAACTCCAGAGGATGATATGACGAACACCTTTAACACCAATAACGCTTTTCATGTGAGAAGGAATAATTTTACTTGGCATGCCAACGACTGTTTCACTCTTCACTCTCATCTCATCTCATCTTGTCTAATAATCAGTATCAGTTTCATCATTGTTCTCTAGTTGACTTTACGTTTCGTATCCCCATAGCTCACCATTTTTCCACAAGAGGACTATGCCACCGTCCAATCTACGACATTGGGCGAGGTGCTTGTGGATCATGACACCATAGTGGAGATACCCATACAGCCAATGTTCTTTACCTCGGCTAAAGAGGTTCACGGAGTTCCACCACACATACGACGTTGCTACTATCCTGAAGAAGGCAGTCGACTGCTGAACCAGTAAGTGTCTATCCTAAGACAAACATCATCATTATCATCACTTAGGCACCTCGCAACAGAACTTACTACTCCCTGGACGAGTGCCTCCTGGTTTGCCGCATCAAGAGCATGATCGATCACTGTGGCTGCGTCTCCCCGCCAATGGGGGGCAGTTCCCTCGATGTCGCCTACTGCATGCTACCCGATCTTCCCTGCCTGATGAGATGGAAGAGCATCTGGTACGGCTACAATGAGTTTTCCTTCCTGCAGAGCAAGGATGAGCATCTGGCCCAACGGCAATGCGAGCAGTGTCTGCCCACCTGCAACGGAGTCAGCATGAGCATCACCACCAATGTGGCTCCATTGAGACGAACCTATAATAATACTGTCTACTTTACTGGGTTACTGTAAGGGTTCAATGATTGTTTTTTAATAACTAACTAAATATGTTGACACTTCTATAACAGAAAGGGATTGAACAACGAGCGACCATTGGCCATAATTAAACTCTTCTTTAAGCTGCGTTTTGCCCAAGCCACCAAATCGCAACTAGTGAGCACATGGGTTGTACTTCTAAGTAAGTATTTTGTAAGTTTGGTAAAAACTGTATAACTTCCAGCATTTTGCAGACCGATTTGGAGGCATCCTCTCGCTTATGTACGGCTTCAGCATAGTTAGTTACATAGAGATCCTCTACTATCTCACAGGAAAAGGATTTGTCTACATATACAGATCGTTGACAGACAGAAAGCCCAGGAAAAGCAACTACTCCCTTTACTGGCGTGAGCTTATGCCCAAGGGCCTTAAGAGCCCACCTCTTAACAATTAGCATCCACAGTTCTTATTTTCTGAGCATAATACACTTTATATTCAATTCGGTCCGCGTACGCTCACAGATAATCAACAATAAAATGAACTCATATCAAAAACCGTATATAATGCAAGCCGTACAACGCCGAAATAGCGATCACTAAATAGATCCACACATCCCGCTAGTAGTCGTCGCCTCGGGAAACAATCTCTTTGCAAGTGGGTCGCAGCATAATGGTGTGTTCGTACTGAGCCGTATAGCAACCCTTGATGTCGCACAGCGGTGGATAGGCCTCCACAATGCCCTTGTCGCACAGATCCTTGAGTGCCATCTGGTACTTGGTGGCGCCGGCGCGGTCCAGCCAGCGCTTGCAGAAGGCCAGGGTGCCGAAGTTTTTGTTGATGGTGCCCAGCAGCTGCTTGGAGCTCTGCAGGCGCAGCGGCACAAATGGCAGCTCAAAGTTCTTCATGTAGTGGGAGCAGTCCATGTCGTCATGGACCAAACCGCGTCCCGTCGATCCGAATGTCTCGATGGCGTAAAACTCGTCCTCCTCCATGCGAGTTGACTCACCGCCCTTTACAATGGGCACCGTTTTACCAGCATGGATGCCTGCGAATTAAACATGAAAGTTAGCAATCTGTCCATAAAGTTAAGAGTCCAAAATCACAGCACAACTTCTTTAAACAAAGATAGTAAATCTCTCATGATCCAGAATATTTATAATTGTTACTGCAATTACCTAACATAATAAGCTTTTAAATCTTGGTTGTAAAAGGGTTTTCTAAACCAGGCTAGTAAATAATAAATCATTGATTAAATAATTTTTTTAAATTGAGATTTAACAAATTGAGCTTTCAAAAAAATAATAGGAGGTTATAGAAAGCTATTCTGTTCAAGAAGAGTTACTTGATAGACATAATATTATTCCCAAAAAATGAGTTCTATGGCTTACGGTACGGGCTGATCGAGTGTCCGTTTAAGTTGCGAATGGCCTTGATGGGATATGTCTTGCCGTCCAGCTCGATCTCGTACGACTCCATGACCTCCTGGATGGCGGCTCCGATGTCGCATAGGCGCACATCGATGCCCGCCTCCTTGATGCCCGTGTTGGTGGCCTCCTTGACGGCCTGCAGCAACTTGTCGTACTTGTTGTTGAAGGTCAGTGTGAAGGCGCAGTCGATGATCCGCCCCTTGATGTGGGTGCCAAAGTCGATCTTGCAGACGTCGTCGTACTGCAGCACCGTGGTGTCCCCGGCATTGGGCGTGTAATGGGCGGCGCAGTGGTTTAGAGAGCAACCGGTGGGGAAGGCCAGTCCCGCCTCCAGCCCATTCTCGCCGATCAGGCGGCGTGCCGTGTTCTCCAGCTCCTCGCAAATCTGGATCATGGTCATGCCCGGCTTGATGTACCGCTGCATGTACTGGCGCGTCTGCCGATGGGCCTCGGCCGCCTGGCGCAGCTCCTGGTAGATGTCCGTGTTCATGCGGTCCAGGGCACGCTTCTCCTCCGATGTGAAGCGGTCCTTGGCCGTGCGATCATCGGCCATGTCCTTGGGCGTGGGATGCTCCACGATCTCGCCCTCGGGGAAGTTGCCATCCGGATAGAGCTTGGCGATGGGTATGGTCGGCGGTTCCGTCTGGCCGCTCTTCTTGCCCTTGCTGTTGCTCTTCTTCTTGTTCGCCGGCTGAGTGGCGGTCGCCGGCTTGGCATCTCCGTTTGTGCTCAGCTGCTCCACGTCGCCGCCTTCCCCGGATGCCTTCTTGGCCGCCGCCTCTGTGGGTGATTGGGTGGATTGGTGAGTGGGTTGGTGAGTGGGTTGCTTGGTGGGTGGCTGTGCCGTGCAGTTGCAATTACCGCAGTGCACTGCTCGCATGAGGTCACTCACCTTGGCGCAGTTTCTTGTTGTTCGGCTTGGGCTTCTTCTGTTTCTTGGACTCGTCGCCAATCTCGGGCGTGGCCGCCGGCACGTTTAGGGTCTCCTCGGTTGCCGACATTTCGGAGTGTGTTGGTTGCTGGTTAAACGATTAAATAAACGAAAATCTAGCGCGCACTCTTGCCTGGCGATGGCGATGCGGTGAAAAGAACAAAAACACGAGGTGTCCGCGACCAGTGTTGGACAACGCACGGTGAACTATCGGAACCAGGCGGTGATTCAATTTTTACTCGGTACTCCGTATATATATTGTTTTTCTTTTCATTGTTTATAAAATGCCTAATATCGCCTGATGATAAGCTTCATCATAGGTCTAGTAGTACCAATCGGAATGATTTTTGCAGGCATTAGACAAAAAACTAATCTCCATAAAATTGGCCTACTTCATGAAGCTTTAAAAATCATGGCCGCCTAAAGAACTTAGTTTTTCTCAGGTTTTAATATCGGTTGATTTTGCAAAGCGCAATTAAAAGATCACGTTCGACTCATCCGAAATAGTATTAATTCGAAAGTGAAACAATGTTTTTTAATATTAAGATATATTTAAACTTTATAAATAATTTCCTTTTATTATTTTCTCAACCGATGTTTAAACAAGGCAACTATCCGATACTTGGTGCCATCTTCATCGAATCTGGTTCACGGCACCGGAACTAGTGTTGTTAAGCACAAAAGAAGTGTCCAGCCCTGGTAGAATTTGTTTATAATCGCTAGAGCTGTCCAAATCCCAATTAAATGGACGAAATCCTGTTTCCCACGCAGCAGAAGAGCAACTCCCTGAGCGACAGCGACGATGTAGACCTGAAGTTCTTCCAAGCGGGCTCCGGTGAGCGAAAGGACAGCGAAACTTCGGATCCGGGCAACGACGCGGATCGCGATGGCAAGGACGTGGACGGAGACAACAAAAACACGGACGGAGATGGAGACTCCGGCGAACCAGCGCACAAGAAGCTGAAGACCAAGAAGGAACTGGAGGAGGAGGAGCGCGAACGAATGCAGTGAGTTGGTTGGCAAATATGTAGCCCTATTCCTCCGTTTCTTATAAGAAATCATTTTACTCCCCGCCAGAGTTCTCGTCTCCAACTTCACGGAGGAGCAACTGGATCGCTACGAGATGTACCGTCGCTCAGCTTTTCCCAAGGCCGCCGTGAAGCGTCTGATGCAGACCATTACCGGCTGCTCCGTGTCCCAGAACGTAGTGATCGCCATGTCCGGCATCGCCAAGGTTTTCGTGGGCGAGGTGGTGGAGGAGGCCCTCGACGTGATGGAGGCTCAGGGGGAATCTGGTGCCCTGCAACCCAAATTCATTCGCGAGGCTGTGCGCCGGCTGAGGACCAAGGGTCGGATGCCCATTGGGCGCTACCAGCAGCCATATTTCAGACTGAACTAGCGAGTCGGGGATTCTAGATTGTAAGACTGTTTTAGTCAATAACAAACATACATACATAAACTTTTATACACATTTTCTTTAAAATTCTTTTTTACATTTTGGAAAACTGAATTTCAATTAATCTATATTCACAATATATGTTTTTTCCTTCCGCTTTAGTTAAGTTATTAAAATTGAAGTTTATCCAATTAGAAATAAATGAAAAAATTTAAAAGTAAAGGATAGGAAGGACAGTTATGAGAATTTCGATTCGTAAATCGTAAAAAAAACTACATTTTATAAAATTGAAAGCGATTATGTCGCAAGCTTTAGTTTCAAAGATACTTGGACGATAAGTTGACTTATATAAAGTTCAAATTAGCTTAATGCGATCAATATATTATAGTCACAAATATAATTGATCAATAAGTTTCAAAACTTTAAAATTTATTCAAACACTTTTAAAAAATGGCTGTATTTGAAAAACTAGAGCTGAAATAAGAAAAGTTTAAGTCGTCGAACGGTCCATTCACATCATTCAAAAGTGATTAAATTTAAAAAAAATTTTAGACTATTTTCAAAATAAGACTTTGATAAGTTTTTGACCGGTCCTGAAATTATTTGTATTTCATGCAGCTTAAGCTTGTTCAGTGGAAAATAAGATAAGTTTATATACATGTATATATATATTTTTGATAACTGGACCAGCGAATATATATTAGCGAACCTTATTATCCCTTTAAATTGTTTAATGTTAAATGAATAATGCTGCAAATTGTTGGACTCTTGCTCAATATTTTTTTTCGAACAGTATAGCCAACAGCGTTTGAACAAACAATTGTTGTGCGGTGGTGGCAATAATCAAGCCATTTTTAAATTTAGTTTTGATAAATAATACTTAAATTCGAAAAGCATTTTTTTGTAAGGAAAATTTATTTTTCTTAAATGTTTTTTGACAGGTCCGTATGGCGTTAAACCTTTTCCTACATCAATTTTATGTAGCTTATGTATCGTTCAATGTTATTTAAATAATCCAGTCATTAAGTAGATATTATGTAGTTATCATCCCATTTGTTGTACAGTAGAATACGCATCCGTTTACAAAAGCATCTTGAATGAGTGGGATCGCTATATGAATGTGTTCCGAAGTTACTCCAATCGCCGGGCCTCGGCCTGCATGGTCTGGAGCACGATGTGGGGCACCAGGTGCGTGGAGGCGTAGTTCAGCGGCACGGTGGCCAGTGGCGCCGAGCCGTCGGATGGGAAGTTCAGCTCCTGGGCCATCGGCATGTCCCGATCGATGACGTCCTGGGCGATCAACGTCTTGGTCTCCTCGTACTCCATGCCCGCCTCCGGCTTGGCGCCCATCAAGAGTTTGCCGCGCTGCACGCCCATATACTGGGTGGCCTTGGCATTCAGCGGCAGCTGGCCGCAGGTGTCGGCATGCACCTTGCGATGGGCCTGCAAGTTGGAGATGCAAGTGAAGCGCTTGCCGCAGTTGTTGCACAGGAACCGCTTGATGCCCGTGTGCACGGTCATGTGGGTGAGCAGGCTCTCCCTGTACGGATACTCCTTGGGGCACAGGTGGCACTTGTACGGCTTGTAGTCGGTGTGCCGCGTCTTCAAGTGCGACTTGTACTGCGCCTTCACCTTGAACGTCTTGCCGCACTTATCGCACTGGTACGGCGTGTCTGCCTTGTGAAGGAGCATGTGCGTCTTGAGAATGCTGAGGAATAAGATATCATCCATTAAAGTTTCTTACAATACATAATTTCTTCTTTTTTTTTGAAGAGCATATGCTTCAGGCATTTGAATATCCTAAACTTAGGGATGTCTAATTGTCATTTATCTAACAACAGAATTTAATAATACACTATATTAGCGTTATGTTTGGCTTGGTTTATACAAAAAAGAAAAAAAAACGAAGACATGTGCTTGATCTTATTATAGAAAAGGTTTCTAATCTTCATGTTCTTCATAATTTAAACAACTTTAAAAATATTAATCTTAATGTTAATTAGTGTATAAAGTTTATACTTCAAACGCTTTATATTTCATCAAACAAAATCGGACAAAAATCACAAATAGTTACTTTTTTTTGACTTAAAGGAAAGTAAGCTTTTTCGTTTTTGACTTGGCGCAACATGATGGAAGCAGGAAATATTGTAAACGAATTCTTACCCAGCTGTGGACAAATGCTTGCCGCAAACGCTGCAGCCGTAGAGTGGCAGGCGGCCACAGTCGGAGCGTACGTGATCCGAGAGCGAGGTGCGTCCGGTGAACTTCTTGCCGCACTTGTCGCAGATGAGGTTGCGCTGCTGGCTACGCGGCTCCTTCTTCGAGTGGAAATTGCGCTCGTGGTTCTTGAGGCTGTCGTGGCCGGTCATGTACTTGTCGCACTTCTCGCAGTAGAGCAGCTCCTTGTGCTGGGCCCGGGCGTGCTCCGTGGCCTGCTCCTTGGTGGCGAAGAATAGGTTGCAGTAGCAGGGACACTTGAAGGTCAGCTTGCCGTCCTCGCCGTGCACCTTCATGTGGGTGACCAGGCGCTTCTCCACCAGATAGATCTTGCTGCATATGGGACACTTGAAGACCTCCTCGTCCAGCTTGGCATGCACGTCCACGTCCTTGAAGATCTCCTTCATCTCCTGCTCGTTCAGCTTGTGGTCGTCACGCAAATGCTTCTCGTAAGGCTTGCGGATGTGATAGATTTTGACGCAGTGCGGACACTTCCACGACTTCTCCATCTTGTTGATCATCTTGAGGCGCTCCTTTAGCTCCTTTTTGCTAATCTTAGCCACACGTTTTGGCGTACCCGACGAATCCTCAGGCGAGGGCGATCTCGGTGCGTTACGCTTGCGATACTTCCTCTTGACCACTGGTATCTTCTCCTTGGGCGGCCTGCCTCGCTTCCTCACCCCGGTCTTCTCAATGCTATGTCCGTGGCCCCTCAAGGCCAGCACATCTTCCTCGGCCACCTCCACCAGCGGTACGGCCGCAATCTCGTCCAGTATGCCAGCGCCCTGTTCCACCTTGAGGCTCTCGAAGGGCTTCAGACCATCGCCCTCGTTGAGCAGGACATCCAGTAGCTTGTCCTTCTCGTTGCTAAATATGTCGGTGCTCTCGGTCTTCACATACATGCTGGCGTCTTGGTACTCGAAATCCTCCTCGTCGAAGGCCTCCACCTTGACCATGGCCGGCGGAGGCAGCTGGAAACCGGACGCATCCGCGTCGTCATCACTGTTGTTCGGCTCAAAGTCGGGACACTCGTCGCCCGAGTCCGAGTTCTGGCTCTCCTGCTTGAGTTTCGTCTTCAGCCGACTGGCCAGGGGAATGTCATCGTCGCTGTCCGACTCCTCGGTGGTGCTCTCATCGTCGGAGCCCCGATTTCTGCCCTTCTTGCGGAACGACTTTCGTTTCTTCTGCTCCGACGTGCCGGGCGTATCGTACTCCGGCTGGCCACAGGTGTCGGGACGACTGCGTCGATGCTTGATCAAATTGGAGCCGCTGGAGAAGCGGGTGAAGCAGCACTTGCACTCCATGGGTCGCGACTCCTCCTAAAGAGGTGGGGAGGAAACAATGATTAATGAGTGATATTCGCTGGAGCGAAATGGGGAAGTACTCACCATCGATGGTTTCTCCTCGCCACACTTGGTACGGCAATGGCGCCGATATGCCTCCTGGTACTTGTACTCCGCCCCGCATTTCTCGCAAACGAAGGGCTTGCGCTCCTGTCCAGCCGCCGCTCCCGTAATGCCGTGCTCATCCTTGGCATGCTGGGTCAGCTCCTCCTCGCTGCAGAAACGGGCATCGCAGTGGCGGCACTCGAAGCCGCCCGGCGGCTGGTGCTTCTTTACGTGCTTCACATATCCGGCCAGGGAGACCAGAGCCTTGTTGCACACCGGGCAGTGCAGCTTGGGCACCCCGTCCGTGGTGATCTCCACCAAGAGCTTGGGGGCCATCGACTCGTTGGCTGCAGATGGAGGGAGGGGCGAATGTAAACAAATGCGAATTGAATTTTCGGTTGGTTTGGGTTGGTATGCGCCTACCAGGGCTGGATGGCTTCGAGCCAAGGCCTAAATGCACTAGTCACGATACTTTTGGGGCTTTTGTGGTTCCCCTTTCTGGCAGTAACAAGGGTTCGACTGGTAGCATTTTTCACAATAAACTAAATCAGTTCTAGTGACTGAGCTTCGTTCACTTCTATAGATCGGGTATTTATCATAGTAACTTGGAAAACTATCGAATTACTTCTGTTGTATTTGGTACTAAGAATTGTTTACTTCAGTCTAATATAAAAATAAATTCAAAAATATTAAGACATTTTAAAATTGGTAGTGAAATGTAAGCAGCTAATTAGAAAAGTTTAGCATATAGACTTCTTTAAATGCCATTTAATTAATTCAAGCAAAGGCATCTTTGAACTTTAACTTTAAAAAAGTATCTTGAAGATAGTCTTACACTTAAAAAACTGTTATTTTGAACCAATGACTTTGCCATAATAATTCGTTAAGTGTAACTTTTTAAATATTATTTGTATGTATTGTTGAAATTTTCAAAGATGTAAAATCGAAAATGATTTTGTTTGATACAAAAATAGTTTCATTTACTGTTAAAGATAATATTCGTATATTTTACCAGACTTGACTTAGCTTTATCTACTGAAATATGAATACGTATTCATTTAAGACCATTTACTTGGAGCCAAAAGGCTTGCAATTATAAAAACATCCAGTTATTAATTAAGTAAATAATTAATTATAAGAGATTTCTATTTTATGCAATGTAATTTAGACATGTTTTCAGTACCCTTTGCGTATACATAAATAATATAACGTGTTATGTTTCTAACTAGTAATTTTTAACTATCGGCTGTGAGCTCTTTACTAAATCATAAAGTAATAGTAATAGATTATTGTATTTCTTCAAGAGTTGTTTAAGATATAATAATTTATCATTTGATGTTTTTGTTGTACTTCTCTGTGTAACTATCGTCTGCAGGCTCTTTGTTCGATACTGTTCGATACAAAGGGGTTTGCCAGTTCTCAACTTGTTCTGGCCACCAGCAACCGATTAGCGACGCT